TGCTAAGCAAGCAGGGTGTTTTTTTGAGACAGGATCTCACTATATAGCTGAGGCTGGCCTAGAACTTGCCTCCTCCAGCTTCCACTTCCCCAGTGCTGGAATTACAGGCATGTACAACCACACCTTGACTTTTCTTTTTTTTAAAATTGTGGTAAAAGTATACTTAATATCTAAAAAATAGAAAATAAGGGTTGATGAAGGCGTGGAGAAATTAGAACCTTTATGCATTGCTGGTGAGAATGTAAAATGGCATGGCAACTGTGAACAAGTTTAGTGGGTCCTCAAGAAAGACAACATCAAATTCCCATGTGACCCAGCAGTTCTACTTCTTGAATATATATCCCAAAGAACTGAAAGCAGAGACTCAAATAATACTTGTAATTGCAGTTCTTGCTAATGTTTATGAGCATTCTTCCTAATAGCCAAAAGATGGAAACAACCCAAATGGCTATCAATAAAAGGACAGATAAATGGATAAATCTTGAGAACATTATGCTAAGTGAAATAAGTCAGGCACAAAAGAACAAATATTATATGAGACTATTTATACAGGGGACCTAGAATAGATAAAATCAGCTGGGTGTAGTGTTACATGCCTGTAATCCCAGTTACTCTGGAGGAAGAGGCAGGAGGATTGAGAGTTCAAGGCCAGCCCAGGCAAAGTAACAAAACACTATCTCAAAAACAAATAAAAATTAAAGGGCTGGAAGCATGGCTCAATGAGTAGAGTGTTTGCCTTCCATGCAGACTCTGGGTTCAATCCCCAGTAATGTAGGAGGGAAAGAAAAACAAACTCATAGAGCCAGAAAGTCAAATAGAGATTACTAGGATTTGAATGAGTTATTGCTTAGTGGACCCAGAGTTTCTATTAAGGACATGGACAGAGGTGATTTTGAACGCACTTTATGGACTGAATTACGATATACTTAAAATGATTAAAATGGTCCATTTTATGAGATGTCTATTTTAACACAATAAAAAAAAAAGAAATCCGTAAAGTACTTTTTTTGTGACATTCCTCTTAACTGGAGGACAGATTTGTAGGATGAGGGCTCTGAACTCCTGGAGTCTGTCTCAAAGGCAAACCTGGGGAAGTTCCTTTTTCTGTGCTTCTCAATTTAGGTCAGTTGAACCTTTAATGGCTTCTGTCCCTGAAACAGGAGCAGTTTGACTTTCGTACTAAGACTGTTTGAAAAGATCTTATTCCTGAGACACTCATTCATCCCAACTTAATTCCTCTCGTTTTTCCTGTTCAGTAAGTTTGCTGCAAAGTCTTATTTCTGACTTTGTTAATTAGACATAATTCACTCTCTACTGTGGTTAAACTAAAGAAGTTGTAGTTTCTTTTCATTTTCCAATCTGGACTACTTCATAATTTTTAACTGGCCTGGTAGTTTAGCATCTTCTTCCCACTCTTAGAAATTATTGAAAATATTTGTCCTCCAGCTCATTGCTTCTGGAGCCACAGGGGAAGTTTTCCAGTGGATTTACCAATTCAGCGGAGAATTTGGAATAGTATCTGAGAGCTTCCCACCTAGTAACGAAGGGCTCAGCTCTCAGCCTGGCACTCTGGCTGGCCTTCCCACTGTGGCTCCCTTCCCTCTGGGCTCTAATTGTACCTGGTTCTCCTCAGGTTGTACCTGTGTTCTGGCCTCAGTGTTTCCACCTCCTGGCATTACCTGTCTCAGCTAATACATTTAAATATCCTGTAACCTGCTCAGTTCTCACCTTTTCCATCAGGTCCTCCCAGCTTCTTTGTGACCTCATACTGTAGTCTGGGTGGGAGTGGTAGAGAATTTGGAGATTATAAAAGAGGTACAGAAAATACAAATTACCCAGAACACTTGGAATTATTTTCCTCAGTGACTCTGTTCTTTCTGTATGTTTCTCTCACCTCATCTGTTCATACTTCAAAATGTTTTAGCAGAATTAGAATCAATGGTATAAAAACTTGGGTCCTATTTTTTCCCTTGACATCATGTCATAAGCATTTTTCCATGTTATTGAATACTTTTGAAAAGTTCTTTTTAAGTAACAGCAAAATGTTACATAGTGTAGATGTATTGTGATTTATGTGATATATTTTCCATTAATAGACACTAAGGTTAGTATTTTTTTTTCTAATTTAAATAACACTATTTTTGTTTTGTTTTGTTTTGTTTGAGACAGCGTCCCAGACTGGCCTGGAATTCACTATGTAGTCCAGGTTGGCATCAAACTCGTGATTCTCCTGCTTTTGCCTCCCAAGTGCTGAGGTTTCAACAGGTGTGCACCACCACAGCTAACTTATTTTATACTTCTTAAAAATATTTTCCCCCTGAAGGTTTCTGCTTATTTTCTTGGGACAAGTTATTCCTACAAGTATAATTACTAGGTCCAAAGATAAAGGCTTTTTTTTTTTGCTTGTTTTTTGCAGTACTGGAGTTTGAACTCAGGGCCTTGCAGGTGGGTTTTCTACCACTTAAACTAAGCCCCAAGCCCAGGGTATGAGATTTCTAAAGACTCCTTCTTGACTAATGCCAGGTTGCTTTGTAGAAAAATTGAACATTATAATTGGCTTAAAAAAATAAACTTTGTATAACAATAATAAAAAAAAATAACAAATAAATAAATAAACTTGGGTGGAGGTGTGGCTCAAGCCATACAGTGCCTGCCTAGCAAGGGTGAAGGCTTGAGTTCAAATACCAGTACTACCAAAAAAATACTGTGTGCACTAGTGGCTCATGCCTGTAATTCTAGCTCCTTGGGAGTTGGGAGACTGAGATCAGGAAGAATGTGGTTTGAGGCCAAGCCACTCAACAAAGTTAATGAGACCTCATCTCAATGGTAAAAAGCTGGGTATGGTGGTTGTTAGAAATGCCGTTCCCAGACAGTGATCAAAGAAACACACGGGAGTCCCTCAGCAAGGCAAAAAGAGAAGTTTTACTTCTGCAGAAGGCTATAGCCACAGACCATAGTCTGATAGGCAGGACACACTGGGTGGGAATCAGCTCAGTTTTTATCTCTTTGTCTCTCACCCTGATGGATGGGTTGAGTTCACAATCTTTGCGATTAGTTACTTAGAAAAGAGGGCATGTGGGTAAGGGGGACCTTGAAGCAGGGAGAACAAGAAAATTCTTTTGGGGAATATTCATCTTTAAGCAAGCAGTTTGAGATTAGGACAGCTGGTGATAAACAGCTCTTTGTTTGATCTCAAGAACTGTGCAAGATCAAGCAACATTTCTCAAAGCATGTAGGACAGCAATTTGGGGAGGTGAGCTGGCATCTATACAGTGATAGTTTTACATTAACTCCTTTGATAGAAAAGACCTGACTTTAGTTGATTCTCTCATGGTGCATGCCTCTCATGTCAGGATGGCAGGACATTTAAAACAGGAGGATCATGGTCCAGACTGCCTGGGCAAAAAATGAGACCCTGTCTTCAAAAGAACCAAAACAAAAAGGGTTGGAGATGTGGCTCAAGTGATAGAGCACCTGCCTGGCAAGCGTGAAGCCCTGAGTTCAAACACACCAATACTGCCAAAAAAAAAAAAAAAAAAAAAAACCTTTCTAAATTGGAAGTCCACAGAATGTTATATCTCATTGTGATATTTACATCTTTAGTTGTTCGTGACCTCAAACATGTCTTCAATGTTTCTTCATCATCATTGTCTCTTCTACTAGGAGTTAAATCTTCATTGTTTCGCCCAGTGTTAAATTGGGGTTTTAGCATGGTTCATATCAGTCTGTAGCTTTTCATATGCTGAGTCTTGGGTTGGGTTCATATGTTGAGTCTTGGGACTGAGTTCATATCAGTCTTGGGTTGGGGTTATAGCTCAGTGATAGAGTGCTTACCTAGCATGCTTGAGGCCTTGGGCTTCACCCCCAGTACTGCCAATAAAAGAAAAGAAAAAAGAAGTAGTCTGTGGCTGTCATGTTTGTTGCTCCCATTTCCCCGTGTTTTTTCCTTGAATTTTGGCAAATGATAATACTTGGAAGGACTGAATTCTTTATGTAACACTAGTAACCACTGTTGATTGAATTTTACCATGCGCTGGACATTGAACTACTTTTAATCTTTGCCATATCTTCAGTGTAATGCAACATTTCCCCACATTGTCGATGAGGAGATAAATTCAAAATCAGATAGTCAGTAAATGAATGAGCTGGGACAGGAATAAATGAGCAAGCAAACATTGCAGTGCCATGGTTTAGAATTCTGAAATATGCTTGGTTCCTCTTAAGAAGGGTTTTTAATCTGGCCCATCTTATTATATTTTCAATGTTTTGAACAGACAAGGCAGTCACTGAAAAAGGTATGGAAAGCTTTGAATGCAGTGCTAAGTCTACCACCCACCTCTGTTCCCTCTCTGCCCGCTTCTCCCCTCATTCCCCACCTCTGCTCCACATTCTTGTCTTACTGGTGTCTTGTGTCTGCTCCCACACATTTGTGTGCAGGTGCACGTAAACACGAATGCACATCCTTCTTTGTCTTCCCTGACTTTACGCAGAGGGCTGAGACCAGTCGGTTTACCAAGACTTGGCTACTTCTTTAGTGTAAAGTGTATCACAAAGTGAATCTCTGAGTGAATTAATTATCTTTCATCTTGGAGACCTTTTTCATGCCTAGAGTTCAATTCGTTTCAACAGTAATTTCATATTGAAGCTGATCTGAGGCCAAACTGTAGCTCTGCCAAGTCTTATGTAACCAACAGAAGCTGAGCCTTCCACCAGCCACCATATGTTGTGAGGAATGCAGCCAGGAGACCGTGCCCAAGGTTCTGAAGCGTCAATGAGTGCTGTCAGAATCTTTGAGCGCTGTATAACCAAAGGTTATTACGTGTGACATCTTAAGAAAACACCCTTTTCCTTTCTTGGTGCTCGTTGAGGTGAAGTCCTGAGGACTCCCAGAGGGCAAGAACTGGGAGAAGGGTTTGTCTCACCACTAAGTAGGACGTGCCCCCACCCAAAGTCACAGACTGGGAATGTGCTGCGTTCATTTTGCCCTTTTCTCCCCCTAGGTACTGGCGGAGGACATTGGGCATGCAGGTCCGCTACATTCAACATGAAGACTATCAGTTCTGTTACTCCTTCCGGGGCAGGCCAGGGCACAAGCCATCCATCCTCATGCTCCATGGATTCTCTGCACACAAGGATATGTGGCTCAGTGTGGTCAAGGTGAAGTTCCACCCTCTTTCTCTTAGAAGGAAAAGTTTCTACTGCCTATGATGTCATCAATAATGATGGAAGACAGGATCAGCCCAGAACCATAGTTCATGTTAAGTCTTAAAACGAACACAATTTATTATTCACATTCTTTTGTCAGACAAAATTGAATTGAATACTATTGGAACCTGTGCCTCAGAAGTCTTTTTACTTTGTGAATGTTTTTTAGATGAGGTTTCTGACACATCTACATCTCAGAATTGCCATGATGATCAAGGCTAGGTCCCCTCCCCACCCCCACCCCTGTCCCCACTGCTGCACCCTGGTTGACTGTGCGTTCAATCCTAACTACCTGAAAGGTTGAGATCAGTAGGATCACGGTTTAAGGCCAGCCTGGATAAATAGTTTGTGACACCCCATCTCCAAAGTAACTGGAGCAAACTGGACTGCAGCTGTGGCTCAAGTGGTAGAGCAGCTGCTTTGCAAACATGAAGCTCTGAGTTCAAACCGCAGTCTCACCAAAAAAAGAAAATAAGAGACAGGGTCTCGCTATGTATCCCAGACTGGCCTCAAACTTGTGATCCTCCTGCCTCAGGCTTCTGAGTGCACCACACCTGACTAAGGCTGGGCTTTTTAAAAAAAAGCACTTGTTGGGCTGGGTATGTAGCTCTGTGGTGGAGTGCTTGCCTAGAATGCTCAGGCCCTGGGTTTAGTCTTCAGAACTATTTAAAAATTAAAAAGCATTTATTCTTTTATACTCCAGATTTTCTCTCTTCCTTCTCCCCACCTTTCTTCTCTTGCTCCTTCTTCCCTCTTTTTATTTCTACGTTTTTTCCTTCTACTTAGACAAATGATCTTGATCTGAAAACTATTCCTGAATGGTTTTCCAAATTGCTTTTTGTCCTGTGTTACTTGTTGTGGCACCTTGCTGTTCTTGGTCAGAGTAATCAGCTAGTGAAGAGTAGGACTGGCAGAAGTATTGGGAGGGCAGTGTCCCAGGCTCCCACCTCAGGTGAGACCATACCTGAGGGATCCCAAGTTTTACCTATACCAGGAGGAAAAAGCCCACATATATCTGGTTACTTGTGTTCTTATTTCCAAATGTCACTACAAGGACAGTAACTTTCCTGCCTTCATGAATCCCTCACTTTCTTCCCCCACTCAGATAAACGTTTTCTTTATGACTGGATATTGTTCATTGATAACTGATGTTTCTCAGTTTCCTGGTTAAAGTGGCATATCTCTAAATGGGAAAAGGTAGTTTGAGATAATAAGCATCTCAAGAATTAGACATTAGTGAAAAAAAAGTTGAAATCAGCATCATCAGGATGATTGGACGTGGCTTTTTTGGGGGGAGAGCATTACTCTTGTTGACTCTACTGCTGGCTAGGGCTCTGGAAGAACAGAATCGCCCCCTTTTCTAAACTAGCAGCTCTGTGGCTGGAGTAAGTGTGCAACAGGGAGGAAAGGAGAAGGAGGTAGTACCTGCCTTGCAGTGTTAAAATAGAGCAAGAGACTTAAGCCTGTCAGCCTGGGCTTTGTGCTCCCTTTGTAATCATCTGCTAAACTCCTTTTCATCTTTGTATCATTCTTTTGGGGGCCTATGTTCCTTATGAGGCTACTGGCAGTGCTTATTCATGTTCTTGGGTAAAACACTGGAAGGCCCAGAACCATGTATGCCCATGGATTACTGTCCAGATCACTTGGGAAGTAGGGACGACCTCTCAGCAAAGTAAGCAGACACATTTTACACACCATGTACTGAGTTTCTGGGTCTTTGTATTCTCAGTTCCTTCCAAAGAACCTGCACTTGGTCTGTGTGGACATGCCAGGACACGAGGGCACCACTCGCTCCTCCATGGATGACCTGTCCATAAATGGGCAAGTCAAGAGGATACATCAGGTAAGCAGAAGACTCCATCAAGATTGCCCAGACTGGCTTTGTCCATCATTGCACGGCCAAGCTTGGAGAGCAGACGGGAGAGTTCCATACTGACTCACGACCACTCTCCAATGCAGACTGCAAGTGATGGCCAACAAAATGGCAACCCAGTCAGTTGACTGTGGAGGTCCTGGCTTATTATAGACTGTTCTCCAAGCCTATTGCACTTTCTTGTGAAGAAATACAATCTCAGCATTTTCTCAGCTCTTTGAAAAGGAATTTAGGATTCCTTAAAACTCTTTCCCTCTCTGGAGGTCTGTGTTTCTGCTTACCAGCTGCATGATAACAGCAATATCCCTTTTGTCTTGTTAGGGAGGGTGCGCTTTGCTTTTTGTTGTATTTTGGCATCTAACTCTAGCTATTTCTGGCTGGGCTTTCAAGGTCATGGAGGCACAGAAGCCATTTCATAGTTGGGTAAGTTTCAGGTTAACATTAGGTATTTTCTCCAGATGAGAATATTTGTTTAATAGTATATGCCTCTGCCATTAAACTGTGTATTTTAATAAGGTCAGGAACCTTGTGTCTTTGGTTCTTTGCTGTATCCTCAGCAACTAACTATAGTTCCCTGAACATAGTAAATATCCTAAAACATTTTTTCTATGATGGATAGATGGGTGGATGGTTGATTGGATAGATGGATGGATGGGTAGATAATAAGAAGGGCTTTAACTTAGGGCAGGAGTCATCAGACCATGGCTTGTGAGATGTAATTGGCCTGCCACCTATTTTTGTAAACTTAAGTTTTATTGGAATACAGCCACACTCATTCACTTAAGTGTTGTCTGAGCATATTTTGTAGTACAGTGGCAGAGTTGAATAGTTGTAACAGAGACTATAAATGATCCCTCAGTCACTGGTGCCAAATAAAGAGAAGTCCAATGCATGCTGCAGGGCTTGTTTTGATAATGGATCCAGTAGAGTTTCAGATTCTCTTCTGTCAATAGCAGTTCTCAGGTGTGCATAGCCACATTCAGTTGTACTGGGGGTCTCTGCTCTGTAATTACAACTGCCTCCTTTTCATTTCCCTTCCTAGTTTGTAGAATGTCTTAAACTGAATAAGAAACCCTTCCATCTGATTGGCACTTCCATGGGTGGCCACGTGGCTGGAGTGTACGCTGCATATTACCCATCGGATATCTCCAGCCTGTGTCTTGTGTGCCCTGCTGGTAAGTCACATGGCTACAACATCCATAGGAGTGACTTGAACACAGAGGAATGTGTCTCTGAAGAAACAGTGTATGGTGTCTGCTAGGACTATTTTTAAAAATCTTCTTTTTGATGTGTACTTTAGAGATATGCAAAGTTTTATTGGTAACGAACCAAACAGTTATATAGTCACAATCTTAACCAGACTGACTTAAAATGTATAACTAGCATAGTTTTTGTTTGTTGTTTGTTTTTGGTGGGACTGGGGTTTGAACTCTGCTCTACCACTTGGGCCACACCTCCCAGACTGATTGAAAATTTAGAACAGGGCTGGGGATGTAATTCAGAGGTAAGTGCTTACCTAGCATAAGCAAGTAGAACCAGCACCTGTTCCGCAAAGAATGGAAGGCAGGTCATTAAAATGGGCATGCTTTGCAGCACAGAAATATTTTGAACTATAATGTGTATGTTAACAGTCAACATTTATGAGTTTAATTGTCACTAAACCCTGTGAGATGAGGGTACTCAGATTATGCCTCTCTCCTTTTCTTGCTGAAAACTCAGAGATCTTTATTCATTCTAAGACTTTTAAAAAAAAAATCAGATTTTAGTTTCTCTTTTCTTGTATGTATAATGTCAACTTAAACTGTAACACATCTTTAGAAATTTCCATCTGTAGTTGGATTTTAAATTCATTTTCTTCCATAAGTCTTCAAACTTGGTTTACAGTAATAGATAAAATCATTTCTTTCTTTCTTTTTTTTTTTTTGCTTCATTCTCTTCTAGATAAAATCTTAATTTCTCTCTTTCTTCTCCTCCTCCTTCCTTTCCCTCTCTCTTTGGTACTCTATTGGGATATTATCAAAACATAATGATGTAGCTTGGTACTGGTGGCTCACACCTGTAATCCTAGCTACTCAGGAGGCAGAGATCAGGAGGATCATGGTTTCAAGCCAGCCTGGGCAAATAGTGAGACCCTATCTTGAAAATAGCCAACACGAAAAGAGCTGGTGGAGTGGCTCAAGTGGCAGAGCACTTGCCTTGCAAGCATGAGGCCCTGAATTCAAACCCCAGTAACACGAGCAAAACAAAACATAAAAATAATAATTTACTCAAATTTTAAGTGTAAGAGTCATCTAAGTGACTCTTCATATATGTAATTATCATACAGATAAAGATATTTTGCCTACAATAATTACATTAGTACCAGAGCTAGGATAGGCGCTGATCCCAGAGTGACTCCAGAATTCTCACTGTAGCTTTTTTGGGAAGTACTTTCATACGTACCACCTCCTTTATGTGATGCAGTGAGAACTGAGCCATGAGTTGAACACTTACACCTCTTACTGAAGCTTAACAAATTGTCCTTTGAAATCCTTCTGCCACTGTGAAAGTTAATAGTTTTCAGGGATGTTAAGGACACTGAAATTAAAGACAAGCCTATAGAGGGTTTTCTCTTCCCCTTTTTCCAAGCACCAGGTCTGAAATCATTTTACCGAAGGAACAGCCCTTACAGAAGGTTATTGAACACCAGACCACTTACAGAAGATCATATCTAGCGTTCTCAAGGGTATATTCGTTAGCTCAGAATAGAATTTTATATGGAAACTTGAAATTGTTTATATGTGGGCTGGCAGAGTGGCTCAAGTGGTAGAGCGCCTGCCTAGCAAGCACAAGGCCTTGAGTTCAAACCCCAGTACCACCGAAATAAAAATGTATATGAAAAAGTTGAAATGGGTTAGGAATATATATATATATATAAACCCTAGATGTTTGTTAGTAAATTTTTTTTCTTACTTTTGATATAATTTAAAATTTTACAGGGAAGTTTCAAAATCCCATATTCCCTTTACCCAGTTCCCCCCATTAACAGCTCACATCACAATAAATTTGTCACCACTAAGAAACCAAGACTAGTATGTTATTATTAATTAAATTCCAGGCTTTACTTGAGTTTTTACTTAGTTTCTCCAGTAGTAGTCTTTTTTCTGTTCCAGAATCCAGTACGAGATACCATGAGACATTTAGCTCAGGATTACTTTTTCTTTTGCGAAAACAAATTTAAATTAGCACCTTTTTATTTTTATTTTTTATGGTGCTGGGGATTAAACCCAGGGCCTCATACATGCTGGGCAAGTGCTCTGCCACTGAGCTATACCCACATCTCTTAATTTATTTTATTTATGAACAGAGGTATTTTAGCACATTTCTAAAGGATTTTTACAGAAAATTATGAGACATGTCTTTGAAAAAGAATTGAAAAGCCTTTTAGTTTAAATAATTTCATGAGGTTACCAATGCTCTAGAAATATATATTACATAATAAAAACCAAGGGCAAGTCAGTGTAAAACACAGGATTGGAGCTGGACAATTCTGAGCATGCTCTCAAATTACTTTTAAAGAGAGAGGAAGCAGGGCACCAGTTGCTCACTCCGTAATCTAGCTACTTGGGAGGCTGAGATCAGGAGGATCGTGGTTGAAGGCCAGCCTGGGCAAAGAGTTTGCAAGACCCATCCCAATGGAAAAGAGTTGGATGTGTCATGATGCTTGCCTGCAATTCCAGCCATGGATGAGGCCTAAAATAACCAACCAAAAAAGGGCTGGAGGCATGATTTAAATGGTAGAGCACAACCTGCTTAGCAAGCTCCAAGCCCTGGTTCAAATTGCAGTACTGGGGGCGGGGGATATAAGGGAGGGGAAAGGAGAGAGAGGAGAGAGAGAGAGAAAATGAACAGGTGATACAATCTACTTTATGGCTCCATGAAAGCCGTATGTGATGCCTGTGCTGAATTTAGGGGTTACTGGATCTAGATCTTTTCTTTAGTTGATTTTTAAGGTAGGTAAGTAAGATGCCAAGACTTCCTGCCTCAGTCTCCTGCGTAGCTGGGATTCCTGGAGCCTGCCACACCTGCCTTCTCTGGACATAGATTTATGAAGTGTGAGTTCCTGTAGCATTACCAACATAATCGATGCTACTGCCTTCTTTCTAAAATCTGGCTCTTTGAAGTTAAATACCTACCGATAAATGTGCTCAGTGTTGGAAGTAAAAATTAGTTTTGCCTTCCTGTATAATGCGAGCTACTGTGGATTATCTCATGGTAGGCTCCAGGATGATGGGAAATAATGGGAAATGTCAAAGGAATCTGTCTCAGCCATCATCTACTGCTCTTCTGGAGGGTCTAGGTGCTGCCACAATATGGGGACAGCTCAGGGGAAAGACTTACCCTGTTCCCATGAGAGCACGCCCAGGGAGCCCAAGCTACTCAGTCACTCCAGCCCTAGGTTTTTTTCCCATTATGTAGGCCCACAAATCCACGCAACCACAGAAGTGTGCACAGGGCCCAGACAAGTTGCCTTCTAGACTATGCTTCTCATACTCTAGCGTGTGTAGGATCCCCTGGCAACTTGTTACAATGCAGACTCTGATTCAAGAGGATTAGGGATGGATGTGCTCCTGTATTTCTTATAGGTTCCCAATATACCTGGTCTGTAGACCTCAGTGTGAGTAACCAGTCCAAAGATATCTTGAAGCATTCTGTGTTTCTCAGAGGTTTTGACTTTGAGCAAGGATGGCAGTACCAATGAAAAAGAACCTCCTGATGAAAGAATCCTGAACTGTATTAGCTATGGACTACTATCAGAAGTTTTCTCCATAAAATAGAGGTCGAAAGAAGATAGGTGTATTGTTAAGCTCTTCTGATTTGAATCCCACAGGGCTGGAGTATTCGACTGATAATGAGTTTGTACAACGGATCAAAATGCTGCAGCAGTCACCCTCCATACAGAAGATTCCCTTGGTCCCGTCCACCCCGGAGGAAATGAGTGAGATGCTTCAGCTGTGTTCCTATGTCCGCTTCAAGGTGCCCCAGCAGGTACAGGGGCTCAGCAGCCATATCCTCCCCCTCCAAAGGGATTCCCTCCTGTGTTCCTTGCTGCACCTACTCACTGACTCCTCCTTTTCCACTTCCATTTATTCATTTAAGTAGCTACATGGTGCCTATGACATGTCAACCTCTGTGGTGTGCTTAGTGGTGAATATACAAGACAGGGAAGGTCCCTGGTTAGACACAATCCAGTATGAGAGGCAGACAATTAACAAAAAAAAAAAAAATTACAAATTGAGGACTTGGAGGTATGGCTCAATTGGTAGAGCACCTACCTGCTTTACAGGTATGAAGCTCTGAGTTCAAACCCCAGTCCCACCAAAAAGTAAAAAACAAAAATACAAATTGGAATGAATATTTGAGATGAAATGATTGACAATAGAGAGGCAGGGGTAGTTTTGATAAGCCTGTTTGAGGGAACAGCAGAAATGGAAGGATCACATACAAGTTCAAGACAATGCAAGGAGGGCAGATGGCTGGAGCCTAGAACAAGAGGGAGAAGGGGTCAATATGAAGTTGGAAAGGGAGGCAGGGCTAAATCTCATTCTCAATTAAAAATAAAATCTTGGGCTGTTGGAGTGGCTCAAGTGGTAGAGCAAGTGCCTGAGTTCAAACCCCAAAACTGCAAAAAAAAAAAAAGAATAAATAAAAGTAAAATCTTAGCACTGCTTTACACTCTTACAAATTATCAAGGAACCCAAAGGACTTTTATTTATGGAGGCTTATTTGTTGATTTTGAAACCCAGAAAAATTTAATGCATAAGAATGTACAAGCACTCATTCTATTAGCTGTCAGTGAAATGACATTGTCTCATGCTATATAAGTTCTGAGAGAATGTAAGTGAAAAGGCAAGTGACAGTATTATTGCACACAGTGTGACCTACAGACTCCCAAGACCCACATTGAGAACCACTGGACTAGATCCTATATCCTCTAGGGCCTTAACAGTTTATGGGAAGGAGTCTGGGGTTTTCTAAAGACAATAGGAGAACCACTGAAGGATTGTAGGGGAGTGCAGATGGAAGCAGACAAAGCCATTCAAGGCTACTGTGCATTGGAGACAATGGTGGTGTAGACAAGTGTGGTAGTGGTGAAGATGAGAGCTGAGGTGGATTGGAGGCAGAATGAGGTGAATTGGAAGGACAGGACTTACTGGTTGGTTGGAAGTGGGGGGCTGAGGGAGGTGAGGAATCACAAAATGACTTCCAATTCTTAAATAAAACTGAATAGCATTTTCTGATTAGGAGAAGGAGAGGAAGGGGAGGTTTGGGAGTTACTTCAAGAGCTCCATTTTGGATATTTTAAGTTCAAGTTGCCTGTGAGGCCTCTTCAAAGGGAGGTGTCAAGTAGGCAGTTGGGTATACAAGTGATGTAGAGGGAAGTCTGGCCTAAAGGTATGAAGTGGGAGCCATTAGCAGAGGAAGTATTGAAGCACCGTGGGTCAGAGTGAGGTCATTTAGGGAAAAGATATAGAGAACCGAGAGGAGAGTCCATGGCTGAGGCTTCATAGTACCAAATGATCTTTCTCTATTGGACAGTGCCTCAGGGTGTGTGTATGTGTGTGTGAGGGTCCTCCTGGGAATTGAAAGAATGAGGCAATTCAGATGTTGTGATCACAACTCAGTTAATAGGTGTGGTTTGTGTCTAAGGAAGTACCCAGAATCCGATTCTGTGACATGTTCTATTCCTGAAATCTTCTTTTAGTTATGAAATTGCACTGTCCCCTCTCAGCACTCTTCTAGAATATTATGGCTAAAAAAGACACCATGTCTGAGTTGTGAGAGATAGGAAAAACATGTAAGAGAAAGTAAATGGTGGCTCCAGGAATCTTTCCTTCCCAGGAGAACAGGAGCATCTAACACTCAGCCCACAGGGCCATCTTGTGTGGTGACTGTGTTTGCTCATCTGTGTCTTCCACTCTGTGCTCTGTAAAACCAGGAACTGTGGCCTAATTGGCTATTCCATCCCCAGAGTTTAGCACAGTGCCTTCATGAAGTAGGCTAGCATGGAATAGATGGACTAATGAATGACAGGAAGTCTTGATGACACAAGGATGGAGAGTGGATGGGTGGAGTGCTATGGGATAGATGAGATGGGTGCGTGAATTAATTCATGTGCATGGTTATATGATTGAAGACTGTAGGATAGGTGGATGAATGGAGGGTGAGTGAATGGCTAGTTGGATGGATGGAATGATGCCTGGATAACACAGGGATGGAAGATAGATGGATTGATGAATACAGGATGGATAGACACATGCATTGTGATTCAGAGAAGCAGGATGAATGGGTCACTCCATCAAGCAATTAAGCAGAGATGGAAGGTGGGGGTAGTGTCACATGCCTGTAGCCCTAGCACTCAGGAGGCAGAAGCAGGAGGATTGTGAGTTTGAGGCCAGCCTGAGCTACATAGTGAGACCCAGGCTAGCTTGAGCTACATAGTAAGACCTGTCTCAATATAAGACAGAACAGAACAAAACAACAACAAAAAATGAACAGAGGTAGAAGATGGATGGATGCAAAATGGATAGATGCATGGATAGAGGATGGATAGCAAAACAAAGAAAATGTCTGATGCAGAGCACAATGTTGTTCATCAGATTGCCAGAACCAGTCAGATTCTAGTTGTGCTCCACAGGGTTGGTTTAGTCCAAAGCAACCACAGCTGGGTATATGATGGTCAGCTTTCTGTCAGTGTGACAAAATACCTGAGATAATCAACTTATAAGGAGGAAAGATTTATTTTGACTCAGGGTTTCAGAGGTTTCAGTCCCTGGCCACTTGGCTCCATCATGGCAGGGAGCTTGAGGTAGAATAGAGCTGCTCAGCTCATGGTGACCAGGAAGAAGAAGAAGAGACAGAAAGGTGCTCTGATAAACCCTTCTTCTTCTTCTTCTTTTTTTGTGGTACTGGAGCTTGAACTCAGGGCCTACACCTTGAGCCACTCCGCCATCCTTTTTTTATTATGGGTTTTTTCAAAAGAGGGTCTTGATAACTATTTGCCTGAGCTGGCTTTGAACCACAATCCTCTGATCTCTGCCTCCTGAGTAGCTAGGATTATAGGTGTGAGCCACTGGCACCCAGCTAGTATACCCTTCTTAAGACATCTCCAGTGACCTTCTTCCTCCCACGAGGCCCTAAAGTTTCCACCACCTCCCAATAGCACAACAGGCGGAGGACCAAGCCCTTAGCACATGGCTTTTGGGGGGACACCTAGAATCCAAACCATAGTTATGTGTCTTCCCAACTTCAGACAGTGCATGGGATTCCTAAGAGTACATTGAAGGGGCTTAGACCTCTTCCTAGGTGAGCAAGAGGAGTGAGGGCTGCTCATCTGAATGCTGTACTTTCTAAGTGTCCTGAGGCAGGAGGGAGCAGAGGACTGTGTTCCCCGTGGCTACAGCTACCTCCTTGGGTCAGTTGCCAGGGCCTGGAGATCTTGCCTGTCCACACTTACTGCAGCCCTTACCAATCCTCGGGAGAGAAAGCAAAGATCATGTCAAACAATAACCAAAGCATTCTGGGATTTTGCCTAGAATTATCTAATACTTTATTTCTTCATTGTTTGAGAGGTTCATCATTTCCAATGGCTCAATTTCTTAAAAAAATAGACCTTGTTCTACATTTAGAACTAGATATTATGTCATGCTGATTGTGTCCTAAGCTAAACAGAAAATATCTCAAGATGTCAGCCATTATAGGTGTCTTTTCCATTCTGTAGGGACCTCTAGTTTCACAGAATTCACTGAGTTCTTCCCTAATTTAAAAAAAAAAAAAGAAGGGGAGGGGGCTTTTAGGCTTCCCAGTTATATTTGTTGGAATTTCTTCCTTTCAGATGTCCTAGAGCTATGAGAGGCCTAAGAAATGAGTCTTCTCTTGCTTTCTAACTTTGGTTGTTTGTTCTTAGATCCTGCAAGGCCTTGTCGATGTCCGCATCCCTCATAACAACTTCTACCGAAAGCGTAAGTCGCCCTGCCTTAACGTGGAGATTATTACAAGTGATGCTTTGTGGCTGACTACCTTTTATTTCTTAAATCTTAGTAATTGTGAATGCTTTCTGGGCCCCTGAGGAGAGGAAATAGTGGTCCGGTATTATCTATCCCTTGACTCTGCTGTGGTACCCACGGGCGCAACCCGGCACATGCTCACTCTGTTTTCTTTTTCTGACAAGTGTTTTTGGAAATTGTCAGTGAAAAGTCCAGATACACTCTGCATCAGAACATGGAGAAGATCAAGGTCCCAACGCAGGTCATCTGGGGGAAACAAGATCAGGTATGTCACGGTTGCCCATGGAAGAATGGTCTCGAGGAAAAGCAAGTAGTTATTTATAAAGTGGCCTCTATGACCACTTTCTGTTACCAGGAAGAGATGGTATCCACCCATGTTCACAGGGAGCACAGTCCTGCAAGTTGAGGACTATTGTCTGTGTCTTCCGGTGGAGTTTCTAATAGGCAGGAAGTAGACAGACATTTTGAGACCAAGTGATTGTCCTGCTCCTCATCAAACATTGCCCCCGGATTTACCATCCATTTTGGTCCATGCTCCAAACAATCTTTTCCTTCATTTTTTTTGGCAGTACTGGGGTTTGAACTCCGGGCTCCACATTTGCTAGGCAGACACTTCCCCACCTGAATCACTCCACCAGCCCTGTTTTGTGTTGGGTATTTTCCAGATAGGGTCTTGAGACGATTTGTCTGGGCTGGCTTCAAACCGAGATCTCCTGATCTCTATCTCCTTAGTAGCTAGGCTCACAGGCATAAGCTACTGGCACCTAGCTCCTTCATTCTTTTTAGAAGTCACATAGTATTTATAATATGGCTATGCCACACTGTATTTAAATAGTGTCTTCCTGGTGGTCATTTAGGTCCCTTCCAGTATTTTACTACTTAAGCAATACCTCACTGACCATCATTATGCATGTGTGTTTGTGGGGCTGCACATATCTGAAGGGTGATTTCTGAACTGTAGAATCACCTGTCAAAGGACATGTGCGTTTAAAATTTAAAAGGTTTTGTCAGATGGTCCTGCAGTAGTTTGGTAAGGCTTAAACCACAATAATTCATTGTTCACAGCTCTAGCGGCTGCAGGTCTGAGGTTGGGATGTTGGCAGGTTTGGGGTCAGGAGGCTCTGTGGGAGAATCTTTTCCCTTGTTCTCCACTGGCTTCTGGTGCTTGCTAGCGTCTTTGGTATTCCTTGGCTTATGGATCTATCCCCTGATCCGGCCTTCATCTTCTCATGAAGCTCTCTGTGTGTGTGCCTATAAGGACCAGTCATGTTGGATTAGGGCCCATCCTGCTCCAGTGTGACCTTACCTTAACGAATATTCTGCAATGTCCTATTTCCAAATAAGGTCACATGCTGAGATACTAGGGATTAGAGTTTCAACATAAGGATTTTCAGGGAACAATTCAACCCAGAACAGGCCCTCCAAAGATATTGTCTCCTAGTCCCAGCAGCTCCATTTTTGTTTGTAACTGTGTTTTAGAAATCATATCCCACTGAAAGTTCTTCATAAAGTTTAAAGCAAGAGGAGGCAGTGAGAGATGGAGCCTGTATAAGATCCATAATGCAGGACTACTAACAGGAATGCAGGAGTCTTGTGCTATGGAATATTATGAGGAAAGGATATTACAGAAAAGCTTTTCCTGTTTTAATCCATTTTCTGTTGCTATAATGAAGTACCTGAGGCTGGATCATTTATAAGGACTAGAAGTTTATCAGGCTCATGCTTCTGGAGGCTGGGAGATCCAAGGGCGTCACACTGACGTCTGGTGAGGGGCTTCCTGCTGTGTCATAACACGGTGGAGGGCATCACGTGGCAGGACAGAGCAAGCTGCTAAACACAGCTCAGGTTTATAACAAAACCACTCCCACAGTAACACACCAACACTAGTGATAGTGACATTGATCCATTCATGAGGACAGAGCTCTCGTTAGTCTGTTAATACACTTACGAGGGCAGAGGGATAAAGTTTCCAAAACATAAACTTTTGAGAGACACATTCAAACCATAGGAGACCCTAAGGCAAAGGCCACCATCATGAGCCACCCCTTCAGTGTGGATGAGAGCAAAGGCACGAAGTCAGAGTGTGTTCACAGAGGCCCATGGTGCATGGATAGCCTGGGCAGCGGGGGTTGGGGAGGGAAGCCAGTGTGTGCGTGCTGCCTGTGTGGGGAGGGAGAGCCGCTATGTCTCAGGTCATCCAGGTATGGCTGAGGGTACACAATGCAGGAATGGGGACAAGGAGAACAGGGAGGTCCCCATCCTCCCTTCTGCAGTAGCTGAGGGACTAAAAGCAGCTTTGTGTGCCTGAGCTAGAGGCCAGATCTGGGCTTGTCAGCAGGCAGTCACTTGATCAGAAATCAGACCAGAACAACAGAGGCCTTTCTTTATTGTAAAAATCCCAAAAATGATTTGGGTCTCTCTGGGACTGGCAGGGAGAGGCCATAACCCGTTGTCTTATGGAGAAGGTGCAGAAGTGAGAGCCAGCCTCAGAGACAGAAAGTCTGCATTCCAGCACTGCCTTTGCCCTTCTCAGCCTGTGACCTTGAGCAATCACTCAGTCCCTCCAAGTCCAAGGTGTCTCTTTCACTCCTGAGGACTTGTGTGGCTCAAATGCAATAATGCATATGAAAGTAATCTTTCTCTAGGCATCAAAACACAGATGATTTCTTCCACATGTTCTTTGCCTCTTGACAGCTGGCCTCTGCATGATCCAGAATTTCCTCTGAAGTCCGTTTTGCTCCAGGGGAACAACCTAACATTCTATGGGATGCTGCAAATCTGATCAGATCCTTTTGTGGACCATCTCCAGGGCAGAGGCCAAATAGCAGAGGCTTGGGAGTGGAGGTGGGGGAAGGGGGAGGCTTTATTTCATGGCTTCCCATGCTCTCTGGTTCTTTTCCTGCTCTGTCATCAACATTTGGTGTCACAGCACCTGTCTCCGGGAGGCTGAATTTAGCCTCCTGAAGGAGGATTCTGAATGCCAGCTGCTGTATTGCACAGCTACAGGGGGAACTGTATGCGTTATCATATCTGTGAGTGATACCTCCTGGATCTGGGCAGTCTACAGCCTGCACAACTGAACCTGGCAGTCCTTTCTGAGAAGGCTTCTTCACATCAGTTCAAACACATTTCTACCAGAGTAGGACAATATTGTGTGAAATGACAAGGACTATTATACTTTATGTCCTTTTCTCTGCTGGCTTAGTGTCTTGTATACAAAGTATTGCATTTTTTTTACAGTGATGTTTATTTTTTTATAATACTGCGTTAAAATATTTTTCATCTGGAATGCTGAGTATTTTGATGCTCATTTAAATTTTATGACTTAGGTGAGACCTCACTTGCTTTACTTCATCTTCACTCTGGCTAAAATGGAATGGAGGGAAAATTTTTGATCACTTATATAAATGATTTGTCCAGGAAATCACTGCTATCATTCCCACAGACAAACAAATGTCATGAGGGGTCATTCAGCGACTTCCCATAGGTGACCATGAGGAATGCTGGATTCCTAATTAGCCAGCATAGCTAACAGTGTCAGGCTAGATGTCATGGCTATCTTGCCCATGAGTTCAGATTTTGCTTCTGAGCTCTTTGCAAGATGGATGCTCAGTTCAGGGTTTCTTCTTTTCTACCTGTTGACTCCCCTGCATTCCCTCTGGGCATGTTTCTGCAGTAGCAGGGACTTCATTCCCATCTTGACAGTGGCCACAGCTGAGAGGTCCACCCTGTGGCTGGTGCTGGCTGAGCTCAGTATACTTGGTTCCTCTTCCTGACCCAGGTGCTCAGCAGTGGTCCCTTCCCCCACTCTGCCCCACTTCTAAGTGGGAAGAAACCTTGGTTTTAATGATGGTGGTCTGTGACTGAAGCTCAGAAATGGGTCTTTGCTTTTGCCATTAAGGATGGATAGGAAGGGCCCTGGGCAGGGATGAGTTGCAGATGAAGTCGGTTAAAAGAAGTGTGAATGCAAATACACCTCCAAGGAAAGATGATCCAGATTGGCACGAGAGCAGGGTAACTGAGATAGAAATGAAAGTAAATGAGTTGTTTGAAAAGTACTGGCTTTCACACTGGAAAAGCATTTGCTGTTACTCACAAACTTCAGGGCCTGAGGTCACAGCTGGGGATTCCCAAAGGTCCTTCAAAGAGCGCCCCCCCGCCCCCGCCAGCATTCCCCTCTTGCATTTCCTTGTATGACCTTTCTGCAGTTTGGGTGCCCTACTCTAGGTGTGGGATTGGCTGTGGGGGCCACTGCCCTCCACACAGCCCCAGGGCTCCCTGCTGTCCCCACACACTGGAGGAAAGACCTCCCTTCTGCCCCTCTCCCAACCATCCTCCCTTCCTACCCCCCCTTCCATGTGGACTCCTCCTCTGCTCCCCACTAGCTTACCCAGGAATCAGGAAGGTGGCTTTCCCTTTTCCTGCTTGTCCCTTTGTTCTCTCAGCTCCCAGGAGCCTCTCCCAGTAGAGCCCCTGTTAGGTCATGCTGCTTTGGTCTCTTGAACCATTGGGCTCCCACCAGACCAGACCCTCTTTCTAGACAAGGGCTGTGTTTTTTCTACCTCTTTATCATTGGCATGGAGCAATTCCTAGTGCTAAGTTGCAGAATCAAATAGCAGGCATGCTGGTCATTTCTGTCAGAGAGCCACAAATTCCAATGCCAAAGTGACATGGTCCTTAAATTCACCCCACCTAACTGACCTCTACATCTGACCTCTCTTTGTAAACTCTGTCCACAGAGTGCACCTGAGCATTCAAATCTTTGTGTGCTATCTCATTCCCTCTCTTTCCTGGCAGGTGCTTGATGTGTCTGGAGCAGACATGTTGGCCAAGTCGATCGCCAACTGCCAGGTGGAGCTTCTGGAAAACTGTGGGCACTCAGTGGTGATGGAGAGACCCAGGAAGACAGCCAAACTCATCATGGACTTTTTAGCTTCTCTGCACAACACAGACAACAACAAGAAACTAGACTGAGGCCACTCTTGCAGCCTGCATTCTGCACACAGCATCCACTCCCATCCCCCAGACCTGAAGCGGCCACCACTCTCAGGGATCCTGCCCCAAATGCAGTTGGAGTGCCAGCGTCACTGAGGAAGCCAGTCACCTGTTCCCGGCATCCTTGGTTCCATAGAGCTTCAGGAGGCCACAGGAAATCTCCAAGATCTTTTTCACAAACTGGAAACCCAAATGGAACAAAATAAGAAAACCCAGCCTTGAAACCTACTACGTCTTCAAGTTCATGTCACTGACAAGCCTGTGCTACAGTGGCCATCTTGGACCATAATCATCATGGACATTTTCTTGAAGACATTGCTCACACACTGAGACTCTAGATATTTGTGTTGCTTCAGATGTATCCCCTGCATGGTCAGTGGCTTTTCTAGGAGCTTTAGTGCTCATTCGCTGAACCCTCTTGTTTAAATCTAAGTCAAGCTGTTGCATAAAGACCCATAGATGAATGCAGCCTTCCACTACAAGACCAGGGAGGAAAGTGACAAGCTGTAGAACTACTTCTCCCTTCTTTACAAGTAGAAACCTGTGCAGAGGAGCTTTGTTCCACCACGGCCAGCCTTCAGAAAGGCTCAAGTAGCAGACAAAACAGGTGGGTACTTTATTTGGTACTCATGAGTGAACCCAGAGCAGTTGAAGAACGAGCACCTGGCAGGGTGGGTTTTCTAGGGATGATTTAGGATTTTTAAAAATAGGACTAATAAAGCAATAACGTTCAAGACATCTATCTAAGTAATTGGACTCAAGTTCCACACACAAGCAACTCGTGGGCCTCTTTTCTATTTTGCTGTGCTACTGAAAACTCTTGGATGTAAAATACTGGTCTGTTAATGAATTCTGTGAATTCTGTGAACAGTAACGTGATCGAAAATAAGTCTATACACAGCTGTAAAAGTGACCACAATGATGTGAAATAAATTTAATAAGTCTCTGTCAGCAACATGCAAATAGTTTCTGAGTTCCTATTAAATGCAATGTTGGTAGATTTTCTGTTAACTTTCAAGTTGCTTTTTTTTTTTTTTTTTGCAGTGGTAGAGATCAAACTCAGGGCCTTGCACTTGCTAGGCAAGCACTCTACCACTGAGATATGCCCCCAGTTCTTGCCTTTTTGAGTCAGGGTCTTGCTATGTAGCTCAGAATGGCCTTGAACTCATTGTGCAGCCCAGCCTGGCCTCGAACATGCAATCATTCTGCCTTCACCTCCTGAGTGTTGGGATTACAGATGTGTACCACCACTCCCAGCTAAAGTGTGTTTTTTAAAGTAAGACTTGTTCTACAGGTATTGAAAGCCTTTGCCTGCATGATTCATTAGTTTCCTTTTAAGAAATCATGTTTGCAATATGCCCAACTGAAATTGTATATCAAAAACAGAAGTCATGAAGCTGTGTCTTCCAACTCTCTTCTGTTGCATTTAGGAGCCCTAAGTTTTTTTTCTTTCAAATCTCTTTACTGAGATCCTATAGCCAAGTAGTTCTGGAAATAAAACAGGATGAACTTTATGGTTTAAATGGGAGTTTAGGACATGGTTTAAATATTTTATCAGAGAATAGAACATTAATCTTAAAAACAAGATAATAGGAAAATGTGACATCACACTTCTTAGATGCAGCTAAAGCAGTGCTCAGAAGGAAATTTATAGCCTTAGAAGATATGTGAGAAAAAGAAGAAAGGCTGAAAATCAATAAACTAAACTTCCATCACAAGAAGTTAGAAAATAAATAGAGCAAAGCTAGAGAAAAATAGAAGTAATGTCTGCAGTCAATTAAGTTGACCAGCTTCCTTTACTCATGGGGACCTGGTGTGCAGAGGCTGCGAACAGCAGCCTCCTCGATGGTGTATGCAGCCTGTTGCGTGTGTGGGTGGCCCTAACAAACCTTGGAGGCAAGTTTCCAGTGTGTTCATGTCTCTGTTCTCACACTGTCCTCAATTTAGGTTCCAGACAGGGATGTAGTGTGTCTTTGGGAAGCCCTAGGGCACAGTAGCCAGGGTTCACATTGGCCAGGTAATCATGTCCATCCTCACCAAGCTGCAGAATATGGAACATGTGATTGATGCCCTATGCAGGGCCAAGTTCAAGTTTGCTGGCTGCTAGAAGATCCATATCTCAAAGAAGTGGGGCTTTACCAAGTTCAGTGCAAATGAATTTGAAGACATGATGGCTGAGAAGTGATGGTGGAGTCAAATATGTCCTTAATCATGGTCCCCTGGCCAAGCGGCAAGCCCTACACTCCTGAGAGCTTCTCACTGTGCCATCCCCTCCTTAATCACCTTAATCATGCTCAACAATAAATCATCCTGTCCACCTTAAAAAATGGAAGAAATGCAGATGAAAACAAAAATCAACAGAACAGGAAAGAAAGTAGATAGATGCTTTACACCAAGAATTGTTCACCAAGAATTCAGAGCTTCCTGTGAGAGGGAGTCAGTGGTAGGCACAAGGGGAGGAGAACTGGCTCCCTTGGGGTCACTGAAGAAGTCCCAAGCTTGGGACCAGTCTCTCAGATCAGGCCTCCTAGGTGCAGAAATTCAGTCCCTATCATGAAGATATTATCAATTAGTCCTGTCTTTCCTGAATTCTAAGGTGGCTGCAGAAAATGGCTCAGAGCAAAGGGCGCAGATGGAGACAGAGATGCTAAGTATTTGCCTGCTTTTGGTTAATCCATGGGCCCAAGTAAGGAATCAATGCATTTCAGCAAAAGCAGTTTCCTGGCATGTGCCACATACCCATGCTCAATTATCAACAGAGGGCAGAACGGGTGGTTTTATGGATTTTTTTTTTTTTTACATAAATGGAGTTATACTGTAAGAGGCATTCAAACTGCTTTTGCTGAAAAGCACTGACTCCTTACTCGGGCCCAGGAATTAACCAAAAGCAGGAGAAAAGCATGGCATCTCTTCTCCATTTTGTATCTATCTTTCCTCTGAGCCATTCTCTGCAGTCACCTTGCAGCCACCTTGGAAACAAGGAAGGACAGAATGATCAATAACATCTTTATGACAAGGAACCAAAACTACCCCAAACAGTAGACTCTCTTTTGGATGGAACACCTGCCTGGCTCCAGATAACAACTCTGGGACCTCTCCCAGAACCCTTGGACTGAGATAATGGTCAACCAGGATGCACCTGAGACTGGGACTGTTTAACTATGTGTACCTTTGTCCCCTGTCCCCAGTTCTTTTGTCTACTTAAACCTATAATTCATGTCAGAACCCAGGAATGGGCCTGGAGTCCAAAACTCGGGTTTCAATAATGAACATTACCATTGCCCCTCCCTTCTTTCACTTACCTCTATACCTTGGGACCCTTCTAGGTCCAACATACAGATTCCCAGGTTCCTGTAACAAGTGTGCAGAGTCCTCCAGAGAAAGTTTAGGGACCCCTCAGAGCCCCTGAGAGGATCTCTGATTCTGAGAAAGGATCTAAGGCCTCTCCAGAAGCAATCTGCTTAATTACAGGGTGGTTATCTTCTCCCAAAATTCTCCCTTCCTGGGGTCCTGGGGCTTTTTATTTAAGGGAGAGGTCATTTATTTATTATTTTGTTTAAGGGAGAGGTCTATTTATTTATTATTTTGTTTAAAGGAGAGGTTTATTTATTTAAGGGAGAGATTTCTAAAGAAAGCCTCCATCATTTAAAGGCATTTCGGAAATTCTGGATGAGACAAAGTTACAATGCCTGGCTCCAGCATCAGTGCCACACAGCAGGGAAATGGCTCTGAAGGAGTAAAGCTATCCTCAGATGGCAGGGGACCAAAAGGAGGGCACTGAGACAGGAACCAAGCAGATCTACTGCTCCCTGAGGTGATGGGTTCAAGTTTCTAGTCTGTTTTACTATTGTCTGGTGAGCTGCCCAAGTCCCTGCCTGCAGGGGGTGCTGCTCACATCCTTTCAGGTCCTCTTTACTGGATGCTGCACCTCACTATGCTATGCTGAGTGTGCTGGCTGCTGGGGTCTCCCAGAGAACCACCCTCAGCTGACTGGACTGGAGAGACTGTGCCCACCCTTCCTTTACCTCCTAGGGTTGCCAGATAAAATACAGGAGATGCAGTAAAACTTTATTTGCAAGTGAGCAATAAGTACATTTTTGTCATAAGAGTGTCCTACTGATTATTTATGTGAAATTTGGATTTAACTGGGCATTGATTATCTTCATTTTCTACTCAGTGATGAGTACTGGAAGACTTGGCCCCTGTGCCTCAAAGACAGCAAGGCTTCCTGCGTAGTTTATACTCCAGGGCTCCCCATGGGGTCCAGCTGAACTCATCTTTGCTTAGCTTCCTCCCCTGCATCCTGGGCTTCACAGGAGAGCTGCCTCTGTGAATCACAGGCCAGTGCTTTTCAGCACTTCTTGTTTGGAGATGATGCTCAGGGTAGCTTCAAAGGAACAGCTCTCAACCTGGTCGTCCATATGGAAGGGGTGGGATGTAGCCTTTAGATGCCAAGACTTCTTGCCACCTTAGACAAATGACTTAATCTCTTCACGCTTCATTTTCTTCATCTGTGAAAGGTGTTGATGATAGTGACATGGCACAGTGATGGGATAATGGGAGCAAGCTCTCTGGCCCTTGCCAGGTCTCCCTAAATGCAAACCATGGCTGCACTTCCTAGCTTTTAGCTTCTGATCATTTTCACCTCCTTTGTCCTATCTTCACAAAATCTGCTGAAAGAGGGGACACAAATCCCACTGGGAGATGAACAATTGTGGAACTGGAATTCCTCTTGGGCCCTTCTTTTGCCTTTTCTTCTCCAAGTTGACAAAATTCCTTAGCTTTAAAAAATCCATTTGGCACCAGTTAGTAGTGCTGGAGAGGAGCCATACAAGAGAGGTGGGTTAACTCTCTCTTGACTGCCACACCTTCCAGGAACATAACCTACTCCAGTTCTGCCCCAAGAACTTTGCTCTACTCAAGGAGACACAATGCCTCTCAGATGCCCCTTAAGAGTCAACTGACTCTATCCAATGCAATTTAGGGCAACCCATAAAGACTGAGGCAGCCTTGTGTATTTTGGGTACTGTTAAGCTGTATCACCAAGAAGAAAAAGTCCCCATACCATTCCTCAGGGAAGACACTTAAGAAATAAATGGACCAGTTATAGTGGCGCTTGCTTATAATTCTAGCATTCTGGAGGCTGAGTCAGGAAGATCACAGGGCAGCTTGGCTACATAGTGAGTTTGAGGCCAGCAGGGTCTACATAGTGAGACCCTGTCTCAAAAATATAAGGAAGGAAAGGGAAGGAAGGGAGGGCGGGAGGAAGGAAGGAAGGAAGGAAAGAAGGAAGGAGAGAGGAAATGAAAAGAGGGAGGGAGGGAAGGAAGAAGAGAAGGAAGGAAGAAAAAAAGGAAGGAGGGAAGGCTAGAAGGGAAGGGCAGGGAAGGAAGGAGGGAGGGAAGAGAAGGAAGGGAAGGTGGAAAGGAAAGGGCAGAAGGAGAGAAGGAAGGAAGGAGGGAAGAGAAGAAAGGAGGAGGGAAGGAAGGAAGGAAGGGAAGAGAAGAAAGGAGGGAGGAGAAGGAACTCAGGAGGGAAGGAAAGAACTCAAGCAGTGGTTGCCTCCGGAGAAGGGAGAGGCTGATTGGCAAAGGGGTGGCAGGGAGACTTACATTTCATTGCTTGTCCCTTTACATCATTTGAAGTGGTACACTGTAAGCCTACAGTACCAATTTAAAAAACAAAACTTAGTTGAAAAACAAAAGCCACCAATTATGCCTTTATCATTCCAAGATATCTGCTTTATTCTCAACTCTAGATCAAGACAGCACTGCAGGAATTCAGGCAGCTGGGAGGGAACTTCCTTTTCAGAGTTTAGTGCAGAAGGAGTGAAAATTCATGAAGCTTCTTTAAAGCCCCAAATACACAAGCTGCTCTGGTTTTTTCTGGGCCACAGCCTGGCAGGATGGGTTTGCCAGGTGGCTGGCTTTGGGGGGACCCTGCCACTACTGAGTGTGTTCTCAGTGCCAGGCACTTTACACCATCAGCTATTTCTTTCTCACAACTCAGTGAGATAGATGCTAACAACCTCACCATGGGGGAGAAGAAGAAGCTGGACAGGTGGCAAAGAATGGATTCAAAAATGAGCTCTGGAGACTTTTTTGAGAAAGAAAATGCCACAGTCTGGGATCTGTGTTGATTTCTTCCACCTATTCCCCATCTGGGACAAGTCCTATTTCCTCTCAGGGAGGAAGGCATCACAGAACTAGAGTGTGGCCATGGCAAGGACTCATGAAGCTTCAGCAGATGGAGGGATTTTTTTTGAGAAAAATTAGGGAAAAGGTCCCCACTGACCCAGGCACAGTCTTGGCTGTGCAAGGCATACCTTCACACACACAGCCAGGTTAAATCAGCACATTCATTTATGAATTAATACATTCAATAAATACATGTTGAGTGCCCACTGGGTGCCAGGGACTGGATTGCAGTGGGGAGCCAGCACAGACAAGGGCCTGTCCTCATGAGGCTTACATTCAAGATTCCTTTTGCCCCTCGGGCCCTCAATTGGTTATAATATGGTGCATTGTGGGCAGAACCAGCCAAATCAGACAGCCTGTCCCACCGCTTATACATGCGTCATCTTGCGCAAATCACTTAGCCTCTCTCTATGCCTCTTTAAAACGAGAACAACTAGAATAATAGTTATTTCAGGATTGAGTGAGGGTTCCATAAGATAGCATATTTACAACTGAAGCATGATAGATCAGGGAAAGCATGATGGGAAGTGGGAGCCAGGAATCAAAGAGTATTTCCAGAGATGAGTCTTTTGTTTTTTTATAGTACATTCTCTTATCCTCTCTGTGGAGTATGAGCAATAACAAATATGATCTGAGAGTGCTATCACATTTACACGCACCCAATTCTGCCCATCCTCCCATCGCCTACCTCATCCTCTTGTTTTATTAAATCTCCCTCACTGGTGTCTCCCGGCAGATAAACTTAATTATCTTGCACCTTTATCGTACTACTTTTCTATGTGATTCAATGAGACAGTATATAGTCGAGAGTCATATTTATAGAGAAAACGTGAAGGGATACTAAAGTTGGTTCTTTTGAACTGAGATATACTAACTTTGAAACAAAGAGGTCTGATCAGCAGCATATACAGCGTCGAGGTGGCACTGCTCCAATGTATAGTCTTCACTTGATGCTGCTGTTGTTACCTATCTAGGTCTCATTTACTGTTCTAGACTCTATCACCTAGTGTTAGCAAGGTTCACATGGCCCCTTCTAAACCTATTGGCCGTCAGTTGCTTTAAATATATCAGTTATACATAGCTCTCGATGCCCAAGGCATTTCTCTGCAGATTAGACGTGGGAGAGCGCCAACAAACTGCTATACTTAGCTTTTTTGGCGCGTGGATCCAAAATCCACACTTTGATCTCTTCTTCAGCGATTACCCTTATGAGTTCGAATTGTCCGCAGTGATCTGATGGGCTCAAGCGAGGAACACATGATTACTTGGTGGTGTCTTTTGGGCTTAGCCATGTGAGCCCTAGGTCTTACACCTTCCCACCTCCCAGAATATACCTTATAGATATACATCCAAGATCTCCCATCAGTGTTTACTCTTTTGCGGAATGATAATCAGTTTGTACACTAGCGTCCCCTCTCTCATCGAGTTCCTAGCGCATGAGAAATTACCCTGCAATCATGTTTAAATAACGATTTACCACATTTCTTAAGAATTCTGAGTATCGCGTCTGTATAGCAGGTCGAGAGTGTCTACACGTCCTGTGCGTTGTATACATGCCATAAAACTTATAGGCACCTGTATTGTAAGTGCTAATGTGTTAGAAAACTGACATGGAGCCGTAAAGCTGAAGGACATATGTGGCAAAGTTGATCCTCTATGAGCGCGATGACTTAAACCAATGTCCCTAGTCCATCAGTGTAGTTGCGGGAGTGATTAGCAATCGCCCTAGAGAGGATCGTTGATCTAGAAGCGTCCGGCGATATGCAGGCTATGCTAGTAGTGAATACCCCAATGTCTCTACTATCTTTAGATTATTTTTAATAGCCTCCAAATTTGTTCCAGAGTGAGTCGTTATCTAGTTACATTCCCATCAACAGTGTAAGAGGGTTCCTTCCCACCCCCCCTGCATCCTTGCCAACACCTGTTGTTAGTGGTGTTGCTAATGATGGCTATTCTAAGAGGGGCGAGGTGGAATCTTAGTGTGGTTTTGATTCCCATTTCCTTTATTGCTAGAGATGGTGAGCATTTTCTTATGTGTTTTTTGGCCATTTGAATTTCTTCTTTTGAGAAAGTTCTGTTTAGTTCACTTGCCCATTTCTTTATTGGTTCATTAGTTTTGGGAGAATTTAGTTTTTTAAGTTCCCTATATATTCTGGTTATCAGTCCTTTGTTTAATGTATAGCTGGCAAATATTTTCTCCCACTCTGTGGGTGTTCTCTTCAGTTTAGAGACCATTTCTTTTGTTCAGCAGGAGCTTTTTAGTTTTATGAAGTCCCATTTATCTATGCTATCTCTTAGTTGCTGAGCTGCTGGGGTTCCATTGAGAAAGTCTTTGCCTATACCTATTAGTTCCAAGGTATTTCCTACTCTTTCCTGTACCAACTTTAGAGTTTGGGGTCTGATATTAAGATCCTTGACAGATATCAGTGTTGATTAAAAACACACAGGCACTACTTCATTTGTTTAAAGCTTTACAGTTCCTTATTAAACTGCAAAATATAGTTTTTTTAAAGAGGCAGCACTCTCCCTCTGACCTTGACCACTTGCCCAAATAAGTACTCTCTGAGACCTAAGCAAGAAATATTAAAGAAAGACACTTGTCCTGGGGTGGGGGGAAACATTTGGTAAAATAACTCCTTTGATCACAGAAGTGTTTGCAAAGAGAGAAAAAATTAAGTAAGGACACCTGGCTTAAAGGGCGCATCTGATGAAACCCATCCTTTCTTTAAAGGGATGCTCAAGGAAAACCAACATCTATGCCACAGGGACCCCAATATAGTAAGCTGACCGGACTTGGTAACTCTGAGCCCAAATGATAATGTCAAAACAGTGGAGCAGCAAGAATGATTGAGTGTACCGGGTGACCAGAACAAAGGGGAACACTCATCTGAAGGCAAATTTAAGGCAAATCACCAAATCACCTTTTTAACCACAAATATTGCTGATGTTACAACACTCAGGGCACCTCTTACTGGATGTACCCATTCCCATTTCTGGGTGTGTATTATCTTCTCTTTGCTTTGCTGTACTAATAAGCTTGTTGGTCTCTACCTTGATGTGTCCTAAAATTCTTTTTTTACAACGACATCATGAACCTGGTAGCCAAGGGCTAGGTAAGAGGCTTCCTCCCTTTTGAAGACCTCCTTGGAACCTCATTGGTTCTGGCACAAAGTATGCACTTAAATAGTAACTGTTATTATTATTATTATTATTATTATTTTATTATTATTATTATTAATACTTACACACTATATGTTCCATGAGTACATGAATAAGATATGAGGTCCTATCTTCTTATTCTCCAGAATTCCCAATAGGTGCTCAATTTGGTGAATAAATGCATACGTGAAACTTAGCTTACATTAGGAAATAGGACCAGCTGGATCTTTCCACGTCAACCTACATAGAACACCTACCACGTGCTGGGATCCACAAAAGAAAGTGAGAGAGGGACCAGTCTTTGGGGAGTGCTCAACCCTGTAGATGTTCAGAAGGGGAGATGCTAAAGCTGGGGATGTAGCTCAGTGGTAACAACGCTTGCCTGGCATGCATAAAGCCCTAGGAGGAGTCTCAGCTGTGAAAAAAAAACCCAAAACAGAAAAGAAGATGCTAGATATGAATTTAACGAAGAATGAATACACGAGTAACTAACTGACTATGAAGTCTCAACTGGGGCCAAATAAACACGCAATAAATCCCGCACCCTAGGCCGACAATCGCTCGCAGTTTCCAAAGCTGGCACTAGACGGCGCTGAGCTTGGCGGACCTAGGACTCACCGCATGGTACTTGTGGGTGGAGGCGCTGTACGTTGACGTCATGTCCGCCTGCACGTCTTGCGTCTGGGGGCGGGGCCAGGTCTGGACAGAACTAAACACGTTAGAGCTGTCGGACTGCTGCGTTAGAGCTTCAAACCTCGGCGAATTTTTGCAGCGAACAGAAGCCAGGGAAGGCGTCGGGGAGCGGGGTAGGCGGAATTCCATAGGAAAGCGGCTATTTCGCTGGAGCAATCTCAGCCGAGCTGGTGGCGTCTGCTGCGCGCGCATGCGCAAGTCGGGAGCGCAGGGGCGGCCGCACTGCTTGTGGGATTACCGGTGTGCCAGGACCGAGGACCTCCGCCGGCCACTGCCCGGGTTCGCAGAGGGAGGCCGGGAGGAGGGAGCCGACCGTGTGCAGGAATCACTGCCTGTGTCAGGCGCCAGGTGGGCGCTAAGTCTTACTAGTGGTTGTTAGTCGACAAAAGTTGACAGCAACCTAAGTGCTCAACAGTAGGGAATTGAGCTTTTTATACTTCATTGGTTTAGTGCAGAGGTTATATGTTGAACGCCTACTCTGTGCAAAGCCCAGGTTTAGGTCCTTGGGGGACAGCAGTGAACAAGAGCGACTCCTGTCTCTGGAGTGGATGGATGTACTATGGAAGCGGGGGAGGGGAGGAAAGAGTAAGTGACTTACGTCATTAAGTTAGGAGGTGGCAGATGTTTTGAGGAAAGAGCATGCGCAAGGAGGGGTAGTGCAGTAGTAGATAGCGTGGACACTGAATTGAGTGGGATTAGTGTAAAGCCAGGAAGGAGGCCAGGGTGTGGAAGCCACGTGGGTGCCTGGAGGAAGGACATTTACAGCACCCTGAAAAAATGGAGCCGAGACTGCAGTGTGAGAAAGGACCAGGAGCCCTGTGTGGTGGAGGTTTAGATTAATTCCAAGGAGGATGGCAAGATATGAGGTCAGCGCAGTGCAGATCAGGTAAGGCCTTGCATGTTATTATAAGGACTTGGTCTTACTCTGGATAAAACGGAAAGCATGGTAGGTTTGAGCAGAGGAATGATGTGGCTTAAGTAGGCTCACTGGCGGCTGAATAGGTGGGGGAGAAGCAGGAGACTTGTAAATGAGTTTATGACCATTCCTGCAATCACTGAAATGTCTGGCGTTTAAAAAACTGATGAAGACAATGAAGTGCCTGGTGAATATGCCAGACTGACGTGGGAGGACTGCCAGTTCATGGCCAAAGCAAACAAGCAAAAAGAGTGTGGGCGTTATGGCTCCTGCCTGTAGAGCCTGGCCAGCAAAACTGTGAGATCCTATCTATAAAACAAAGTCAAAGCGAAGGGACTGGGGGGTGTGGCTCAAGTGGTAGAGTGCTTCTAGTTTAATCCCCAGCATTGGGGGAAAAAAAGGCAAGAAAAAGAAAAAAAGAGTTGTGTTATAAAGTACATTTTCATTGTTGATTGGCCATCACAACTGTTCACCTCCTGGATGTTCCTTAATTTTTGTGGTTATCCTAAGCCCCAGGCCTAACCTCATTGGCCTGCCAGGTGGTCAGCTCCAAAGGGGCAGTTGGTAGTGCCTAAAAACCACAGTGTGGTGAATGAGTGAAATAGATGAGGTTCCTGTTTTGCCCTTGTAGCTAACAGATACTCTGTTGACTGATAAAGAGGTACAAGATAACTATTGCTGCTGTGCTGAAACCAAAGATACTTTGAACAGCAGGCCAGTCTCTTAGTCATATATTCAACAAGAGTTTGTTGAACCTACTCTGCTGGACACAGAAAGCAGGAATGTTTTTTGAGTGGGTGGGTTGATGTAGCTCCTAGCTCCCAACTTCTTTTGTCTGAAGATCATCTTCCAGGAATGGTTGGACCGAGGCCTGACCTAGAGAGGTTTTTGAAATGCTAGTCCAGAGCTATGTGACATTGGGTAAGTCCTTTTCTTGTTGGACCCTAAATTCCTGTTCTCTTTAATAGAGGATCCAGGTATTAAGCAAATAGTGACAAGAGATTGTGTAACAAAGGAACATTATTTAGAGCAGGGTGTCAGAGAAGGCCTTCTTGAAGGAGGGGATATGGAAGCCTAAACTGTAAGGACAAGCGTGGGCTGTCCAGGGTGAGAACAGGTGAAAGATGAGCCGAATAAAGGAATTCTCTACAGGAAGATTGACATGTTCTAAGTTTTTGAGAGTTCCAGATCTGTTAGAAATGGCATTGAGTGCTGTGTTAGTTTTCTGTTGCTAATAATACCACAGACTGAGTAAGTTACAAAGAATTCTGTTTTGACTTATAGTTCTGGTCCAAGGTCAGTGTACTGTATCTAGTGATAGACTTCTTGCTAGTAGAGTCCCAAGGAAATGCAGAGCCACAGGACGAGGGACAAGAACCATGTGTGTCCTCTCTTCTCTTTCCCTCTTACAAAGCTACCAACATTTAATCATGGGACTCCTTCCCTGATGACCTTATCTAATTTTTTTTTCATTTTTATTAGCATGTATACATTGTACAGGGGGGGATTTGTTGTGCCAATTCTGAATAATCTTACATTGTACATTGGTTAAGTCACCCCCTCCATCTTCCCCACTGCCACCCCCTCCCTGAGCTTATTTAATTCTGACCACCCATAAGGTGGTTTAGTTGGATTAAGTTTGTATCCTCTTAATGCCTTACTATGGGCATTAAACTCCAGCATGAGTTTTGGAGGGGACACATCTTATTTTAAACTTTACCACTGGGTTCCAGGAATTCCTATTCTCAAGCCCCTTGCTGTTTTTAAGTTCGGACTTTCATAGGGCTGCTAAATAGCCGTACACAAACCTTATCTCTAGACTGAGAATCATAGACCTAGGAGGGGAGGGGACATCAGAAGTCTCATCCCTGTTTCTTCTGTTCATTTTCTTTGTTGACAGAATAAATAAGAAGCAGACTTGCAGGTCTCACATTTTATTTTATGTTTTTCCTTTGCATTTACAGGCAGAGTGGTCTTCAGGGGACATAGATTGGTTGGACTCTCTGGGTGCCCTTGGGCAGGTGTTACCCATCTTTATTAAGCCTCAGTGTCTTCTCAAAATGGGAAATAATCATAGCTTTTACCTCCTAGGATCATTTTGAAGGCCAAGAAATTAATGCCTGTGGAGTATTTAGCACAAAGCTAGATGCTCAATAAAGAAAAACACTAGCAAGAATTAGGTTACTAAGATTTAAGTAAGGGCATATTAAAAATGAGCTGGCATATTTAAAATGTAGGAACTTTCTTTGTATCTGTATGGGTAACCTTAGTCTGACCAGAATTAGAGAAGTTACTATAGTAGGAGGTTTCTTAAAAATCAGGTAGGTCAAATTATCATAAAAAATATGAAAACTAGCCAGATGCCAGTGGCTCACGCCTGTAATTCCTTGCTACTCAGGAGGCAGAGATCAGGAGGATCATAGTTTGAAGCAGCCCAGGCAAATAGTTCTTGAGACCCTATCTCAAAAAAAAAAAACCCATCACAAAAAAGGACTGGTATAGTGGCTCAGGTGAATTGAGGCCTTGAGTTCAAACCACAGTACCACCAAAAAGAAAAAAAAAAAAAAGTGAAAGCTAGCTGGGCATTGGTGACTCATGCCTGTAATCCTAGCTACTTGGGAGGCAGAGATCGGGAGGATCACAGTTCAAGGCCAGCCTTGGCAAAAGTGAGACCCTATCTCAGAAAATACCTAACACAAAAAAGGCTGGTGGAGGGGCTCAAGTGGTAGAGTACTGTCTGCCTAGCAAGTAAGAGGGCCTGAGTTCAAACCCCAGTACCTCCAAAAAAAAAAAAAAAGAAAAGAAAGTGAAAACTAGATTAAAGCTTGATAATTACTAGTCCTCATGACTTTCTGTAGGTGTGATCAGCGTTGGAAAAGATGCCAGCAGCACCTGCCACATATGAAAGAGTAGTTTACAAAAATCCCTCTGAGCACCACTACATGAAAGTCTGCCTGTAAGTTCAGCCCAAAGTTCTGTTTTAGATTACCTTTTTTTATGAATCTGAAAAGCATAGAATTTAATGTCCTTTTTTAAATGATTTTTAGAGAATTTCAAGATCATGGAGGTGGACTGAATGCTGCACAGTTCAAACAGCTGCTTGTTTCTGCCCTGAAGGACCTGTTTGGGGAGGTATGGAATGACTAGGTAGATTGATACTGCTAAGACCTTTGTAAGAAATGGGGTTGGGGATATAGCTCAGAGGTAGAGTGCTTACCTAGCATGATCCCCAACAGCCAAAAGAAAAAAAAAGACTCAGAACACTTTGCAAACATCATTTTAAAACTGTACAACTGCAACTGCACTTGAAGTTGCAGAAGCAGACTTTGAAATGTTAAGTTTTGGTAGGTGGTTCTGCTATGCTTTGTATTTGACAAGGAACTTGTTAGACAAATGTTTGTTTGAGTGCAGTACTCAAACCATAGTCTAGGCTGGTAACCTGCAAGGGTTTTTTGCCCATCTTGAAGAAATAAGGGGTTCACACCAGAGCCAGCATACCACTTTCTTTAGTCAGAAAGTCTCATTACAAAACAATGTGAGCTGAATCAAGCAGTGTGCTTAGTGATGTTGTGTTATATGGGGATGTAGCTCCTTCTTCCATCACAGAACAGCATTTTGATCAGCTTTGCTGTAGCATTCACTGCAAACCAAAGAAGAGCTGTGGAAGTTAAAGGAGGGGAATTATTTCCTGATTCATATATATCCTGTTAAAATCTCCCAAGTATCTTATCAAAGTTTAAAATCTAACACTGTAAAAAACTAATAAGAGTGTGAAAAGGTGGGTCACAGACTGGAGGAAAATATTTGCAAACTAAGTATCTGACAAAGAAAGAAAATCTAGAATATATAAAGAACTCTCAAAACCCAATAGTTGAAAAACCAAATAGTTCAGCTAAAAATTGGACAAAAAAAATCACGTATAGACATTTCACTAAAGAGGACGTATAACTGGCAAAGAAATTAATGAAAAGATGTTTAGCAACAGTAGCTATAGGGAAATGTACAGTAATGATACAATGAGATACAGGTATGCACCTAGCAGAATGACTAAAATAAAAAATAGTGATAACACTAAATACTGGCAAGGATGTGGAGAAATTGGATCAGTCATCATTGTTGATGAGGATGTAAAATGCCATAGCCATCTGCAGCATAAACTAAACTTGAATCTACCATACAACCCAGCAGTCCCACTCCTGGGCAGGCATCTATCCCAAAGAAATGAAAACTTACGTTCACATACAAACCTGTACACAAATATTCATACTAATTTCATTTGTAATAACCCCAAACTGGAAACTCCCCAGATGTCCTTCAATGGGGAATTGTTAAACTATAGCACTTTCATGCCATGGAAAAGAAAAAGGACAATGACTGAATGAATTATGCTGAGTGAAAAAAGCCAACCCCAAAAGATTATATACTAGATGTTTACGTGTATAATGCTCTGGAATAACATAATTATATAACCTGGAGAAAGAGTATGGTTGCCACGGGTTAGGGATGGGAGAGGAGTGGGAGTGGTTGTAAGGGGCAGTGTGAGGAAGTCTTGGAATGGTGCAGTTCTTTATCTTGATTCTAGTGGTAGGTACCTTATAAGGTAAAATTACACAGAACTACACATACCTTACAATTACGAGTACATGTGTAACTGGTAAAATCTGAATTAAACTCTGGAGATACTTACAACCATTCCCTGGGTTTGATACTGTACCGTGGTTATGCAAGATGGTGGTATTGGGGGAAGCTGAGTGATGGATGCGTTGAACCTCCCTGTAGGTTGCCTTGCAATCGCCTATAAGTCTCATTTGCCTGAGTGGCAAGTATATAAAAGATGTGTGCCTTTCTGTGTGTCAAGTATAAAACTTGGTTTCAGGAGATACAGTTGTAAATAGACATGGCTTCTGTCTCATGGACTGGTCTTGATTCTTGCTTTAGGAAAACATTGAATAATTAGTGACAAGAAGATGAGAATTGTGAAAGAGAAAGTGTGGTATCCTGTATAGGAAAGAGCATAGCAAGCAAATTGAGCCTAATCTTGGGGATCAGGAAAGGAGTGGCTTACACAAAGGCTTGGTGATCAGCTATACGAAGAGGTATAGGAACATTCTAGGCAGAAGAAGCTCTAAGCAGGCACCTGAGAGTATCAGCACCATTCCGTGAAATCCTGCTCTCTGTGGAGGAGAAAACTCCACATTATTTATTAGAGTGCAAGAGTAATGATAATCTGCTAATAGCTTTATTCTGTATGTAGGTTGGTGCTGCCTTACCCGTGGATGTCCTGACCTATGAGGAGAAGACATTATCAGCTATCTTGAGAATAGCTAGCAGGTATGACAAACAGCTAAATATTTCTTGAACAACAGGATGGAGAGACTGATGGAGAAACACAGCAAAATACTCAATTCCAGCCAGGCACCAGTGATTTATGCCTGTAATCCTAGCTAATTAGGAGGCAGATATCAGGAGAATTATGGTTCAAAGCCAGTCTGGGCAAATAGTTTGAGAGACCCTATCTCGAAAATACCCAACACAAAAAGAGCTGGCAGAGTGGCTCAAGAACACTTGCCTAGCAAGCGTGAGGCCCTGAGTTAAACCCCAGTACCACCAAAAAAGAAAGAAAAAAAAAAAGCTCAATTCCAGAATAGAAGAGCGATTGTAAACTCTGAGCAACTTTGGTAAATTTAAACTGGGATTAATATGAACATTCATCCACCAGGTTGTTACCTCCTAGAGAGATTAAAGCGGGTGATTTGGTTACAGCTAGCTTCCCAATTAATTGATGGTTGCAAAGTCAGATATGTATATTTTAGAAATATTCTTATGTTCATTTTACTCTCTGCCTGTGACATACTATGCTTTAATTTCTAAGGTGTTTCTCTTTTTTTTTTTTGCGATACTGGGGTTTGAACATACCTCTTGCTTGCTAAGCACGTGCTCTTACCATGCGAGCCATGCCCCTTGCCCTTTTTTGCTTTAGTTATTTTTCAGGTAGTGTCTTGCTAACTTTTTGCCCAGCCTGGCCTTGAATCTTCGTCCTCCCAATCTCCACCTTCCAAGTAGCTGGTGTTACAGACATGAGCCACTACATCTGGCCTAAGGGTTTTTTTTTTTTTTGTTGTTTTCGAGAACTTGTTTGAAGGTTCTAGTAGGGGAGCACAGCTACTCCTGTACCCTTAACCGAAGAATGGTCCTCCTCTGTCGGGGATGGTCGTCCTCTTTGACCGAGCGTGCAGTTTCGGGAGGGACACACATGGAGCGGTGAGGGAGGAAGGGGACACCTGCCTAGCCAGCCAGATCAGCTGAATCAACCCTGGTGATCAGTGGGGTGACAGATGTCGCAGCCAGATCACCCTCACATCCAAACTTTTTTGGTGGCACTGGGGTTTGAACTCAAGGCCTTCTGCTTCCTAGATAGGCACTCTACCACTTGAGCCACTCCAGCAGCCCTTTTTTTTTTTTTAAAAAAAACATTTCAATTAGGTTTACTGATAAAAATCAGCCACTTTCTGAACTATCCCAAACAAGAAGTAGGGAGATGTTTCTGGGACAAGTCTTCATTTATGTTTCTTGGTTTTTCTCCAGTGGTTTGGCCAAATTGTGGAGCTCTTTGACCCTGTTAGGATCCTATAAAGGCAAGAAATGTGCTTTTAGAGTGATTCAGGTAAAGGCTATTCCTTCATGTATTTCAAATAAGACTGGGTGGTGGATCAACTGCTTTTTAGTCTATGTGTCTCATTCTTGTGCTTGAATAAAGTTAGTATGGTTAACATCATTTAACAAGGGGGAACCCCCCCACCGCCACACACACGCAAATGTAGGGCTTCATTCTGAAATGTCAGACAAAGCACTTAGATTTTAGATTGTCTGGGAGATACTTAGAAATCAAACTTGAAACTCTTGTGGTAAAGGCTTACCTTTTCATTTAATGCTTAGGCCTTCTGTGTTGTGTATTGGTACACTTTTTCTGAGGTTAGGACTACTTGTTTAGTCAAGGCTGCCTCCCAGAATGCTTTTTAAAGTGCTACTGTGCCAGCTTTGTTGATCCTGTAAAACCAGGCACATTTCTACATCGCCCTTAGTTTTGGTGCAGTTTTCTCTTGGTATTGCGTTAACTTTTTTCTTTCTCTTGTAGGTATCTCCATTTCTCCTTGCATTATCTGGTAACAGTAGGGAACTAGTACTGGATTGAAGAGTCTTATCAGAAACTTGTCTCAATTCCCAAAAGTATATTTTGGTGTCTGTGTAGTCTGGAAACAGAAACAGGATAAAAGCTACTGTTGATGAAATTTGAGGATACTGAAGATGCTTCCAGTGATACCCAGCCATTACCTTTGGTGGAGCAGGCTTCAGAGGAAGCTCTTCCTGAATCAACTGGTGAAGACCACCCAGTGCTTTCAGCATGTGCATGTGAGAGTTGGAGACCGGGCTGAGCTCAGCAGGGCCTTCACACAGAAGGATGTGGATACCTTTGCAGAATTAACAGGAGATAGCAATCCTTTGCATTTAAGTGAAAATTTTGCAAAACACACCAAGTTTGGAAAGACAATTGTACATGGAGTTTTGGTCAATGGACTTATCTCAGCTCTCCTGGGTACTAAGATGCCAGGGCCAGGATGTATATTTCTTTCTCAGGAAATTAACTTTCCAGCCCCTTTATATGTTGGAGAAGTTGTTTTAGCTTCTGCAGAAGTGAAAAGGCTGAAGCGGTTTGTTGCTTTTATTGCAGTGTCATGTTCTGTAATAGAAAGTAAAAAGATTGTTATGGAAGGCTGGGTTAAAGTTATGGTCCCAGAAGCTCCCAGATCCTGAAGTATGGGTTTAGAGTTGCAAGTTCAAACACCAGTGCATCTGGTACTCTTCACCAAAAAATGGGTGATAGACCCAGAAGCCATGTTGGGGAAGGAAGCAGGTGGAGGATGTTCCAATGTCTGCTTTCCAGTTTGATCTTCTGCTTCACCCCTATTTGAGTATATGCAGAATTCATCATCTGCCTAGGTTTTTTAAATTGAAAACATTGAGAAGGTTATTTATCTGAACGTTCTACTTTTAGGACGTTAAATCTACTTATACTTGCATTTTATAACACCTACCTATATCTGTGTTGAATAAGTTTCTCATTGAATTTATAACTATCAAACATTTAATAATCGAAGGTAATGATAGAAGTTGGGCCATCTTTGAACGTCTAACCTTTACCAGTAAATACTCTTATACCCTTTTGTTGGCTATTTCTGGGTCAGAGTTTATTGTGATTTCCTTGTGTTTATACCAACATGGCATCTTGCTCAACCATCTGTGGAATTTGTCTTTCAGGTGTTTTTTCTGTTATTGAAGAAGGGCTATGTGCAGACTTGGACTCAGTTATGTAAACTTTGTCTCATCTATAAGATGGTGATAACATGTTCTGTGCAGGATTGTTGTTGGAAATGACAATAAATACACAGAGTTAAGTATATAGTAGCCGCTGTCATCCCTTCCCTGCTGTGAGTGAAGTTAGGCGTTTTCCTGAGTTTAAACCTGACTGGCCTAAAGTTAAGCAGGTTAACAGATCAGACTTTTCAGTGCATCAGCCAATATTTGAGTATTTTTAACCCACGATAGAATATTGAATGCAAAGTTTCTATTGTAAGGATCCAGATTCTTTTCTCCCTCTCTTGCAAATGTGGGTCCACCTCACATTACATAAGTACATAAATAAATGTTCATTGTAAAAAAAAGAAAAAGTACAAAGAAGACCATGGAGGTAAAGTTTTTAGGAGTTTGAGGGCACTGAAGGGACATGTACCTAATGTGTTAGTATCAAATAATCACCCTGAACATAGCCAACACTTTGAAAACATGAATCTGCAATGTATATATGGTCCATCTGGGCTCTATAGCTTTAGATGGTAACTGATCACAGTTAGATGCTTTGATTAGGGAGGTAAGATGAGTAGGTGTGGTGTACACACCTGTAATCCTAGCACTCAGGAGGTTGCACCTGTCTTAGAACAGGTATAACTGGTTGTTTTCTGGAAAAGGGGGTTTCCTCCTGCAGGTGGTTAGGGAAACAGATTTTTAATTTTTTAACTATTTTTACAAGAAAGGGAGCAACTGAATGGATTACTAGAAGGAAATATCTAGTCGCCAGAGGGCAGTGTTGTGCATAAAGTGAATACTTTAAACATGTTTTATTATAGCACCATCTTCTAGTTTGTGAAGGTGGGAAGAAAATACCAGTGTCAGAGGAGCAAGGATGCTGTTCTTGGGAGTTTCAGAATGGGCAGCATTGCAGGCTGAGATCCACCTGAAGAAAACTTACAGGTGAATCACTAGACATGCCAAAAATGTGTTACAACGTCAGAAGAAAATCGGGAACTGGAGGCCATCAGTGCTGGCTTCTGCAGAACTCATTCCCTGGGGTTCAGCAGCAGTTTTAAGGTGTGGGTCCGTAAATGGAGTGTGATTTGATCATTAATACTAGATGCTGTTATTCTTCAATTTCCAATAAGCTTGATTTTCTACATTTACTTTAATCCATGAAACAACTTTGTGAGATTAATGTCCTGTTTTATAGACACGGGAACAGACTGAGGCTGTGTGACTTGTCCAAGGTTGTACAGCTAATGTGAAGTAGATCTGGGATTTACACTTAAGCCTGACGGGCTCCAAACCCTTTTTGTCAGGCGGGTCTTAAACAGTGTTCCTCTTTTGTTTTTTGGCATTAAAATAGAGCCGTTCTATAGAATTTTTATATTTAGAATGTGCTTAACTGTGCTTGAGTTGTAGCATTTCCCTGTAAGTATTACTTGATAGCTTCCATAAATGACCTCTTACCTGCAGGCTTTTGGTTTTTTTTTTTTTTTTTAATTTAAATTTGAGACAGGGTCTCACTATATAGCCCAAGCCGGCTTTGAACTCAAGATCCTCCTGCCTCAGCCTCCCAAGGACTGGGATTATAGGTATGTATCACCATGCCCAGCTACCTGTCCTTTTTTCTACATAGACATTCAGTGATTATTTGTCTTCAGAGCAGAATTGCTGCTACAAGGATCAGTCTAAAGATGAAAAGTTATGTGCAGTCCAAGCGTGGAATGTGAGGGGGATGTCACACCTGATTTACACTGTGGTTTTTTTGGTACAGGGGTTTGAACTCAGGGCCTACATCCTAAGCCACTCCACCAGTCCCTTGAGCCACTCCCACCAGCCCTTTTTTGTGAAGGGTTTTTTCGGGATAGGGTCTCCCAGCTATTTGCCTGGGCTGGATTTAAACTGTAATCCTCTTGATCTCTGCCTCCTGAGTAGCTAGGATGACAGGCATGAGCCACTGGCGCCCAGCTGCTGTGTCACTTTCAAAAGTAGCTTCTCAAGAATAGCATCTCCACGTTTTTAAAGCTCCCTAGTAGTCATGGTCTTTGGTCTCTATAAACCAGTAAAAATTATAACAGAAAAGTAGGCAAGAGGATATCAGTTGTCTCTGTAAATGATGACTTGTCATTTTTACCCAGAGCTAGGATTCTTAAACCACTCATGCTTTGTTAAATTCAGCTATAAGGGAAAGCTGGCTGGTTAGCTTTCTCATTTCAAGCCCCACACAAACTACTGAAAATAATGACTTACCTTACAATGAAAGTTTGGGTGACCTCAAATTAGGAAATCCTCCCCCAGAAAATTGAGAGGTGGCCTTGATCATATCAGGTCACATGTGGAAGTGAGTACAAAAGTAGTGACTAAAATAGGCCAAATTGTACTAGCACTTTCCACACAGAGGCATTCTAAGACTGCAATTTACGTGATGCTTGACTGCCACAGAAAGAATATCCATCTTAAGCAATTTCAGCCTAATGTAATGGAAAATTACTTAACAGGTTTTTATATTCTATTAGGCATTTCCATATTGGTGAAATGCTACTCTTTTTTTTTTTTTTTTTCCAGCAGCAAATCTTGTGTTAATAGAGGGAGATCCTTACCATGCGTACTATTGTATTTGTCTTTTGGACCTGACTTGTGTATTCATCTAGAAAAAGAAATCACTAAATGCACACCAGTACCCTTGAGGTAACCACAGGTTTTCATTTTATGAAACAGTCATTTTTCTTTTATGTTCTTAGAGTACGATTTAGAGACCAATTTACTCCCAGAGAAAATTGCTATTAAATTACATCTATTAAGTTTTTATATTAAGACAGTCTACTCAAGGGTTGACTGTCACTCTGAAGTACTGTGCCATTGTGACTGCCTCATGTGTTAGCATAATTTATCAGCTAGCTCTGAGCAGAATGGGAGTGTTGCCCAATACTCAGGCCACATTTGAATGTTATCTCCAGGGTTCCACATGTTTCACTTCCTTTGTTCTTTACTTTCACTTGGGTTGCAAATAGAAATGAATTCTCAGCATCTTCAGAGAAATTGAAGGTTGGAGCAGAATCACCAACTAGAAGAAACCATTGAAGTTCAAAATCATAAGAAACCCAAAATTAATATGTACATAAATAGAACAAGATCAGGAGGCTCCACAAACTGTTTATTTCTTAACTGTAAAGCAGTTAAGGGCAGAATTCCCATGTGATGTGATAGAAAATAACACATTTTAAAGGATATTAGAATGATTAATTGTATGTTGACTTTTGTTGCTTAATACCTAGTTCATGAATATTTAAAGGAATAAAGATTTTGAGTTGGGAGGCCATCGTGCTTAGGAACCATTGAGTTTTTGCAAGCTTCTATGATTTTGTAGAGCAGTTGCCAGGACTTGAAGCTTCCTTGATCATTATGCTCAATTAGTCTGGCCAAACCTCAGGTTGTTAAACAACCTGTGGGCCATCTAAACATTTGGCAACATAAATTGTTTTTTTCCCCCACTCCTGCTAGCCCTACCTAGTTGTGTATGTGACAAAACCAGAGGTTTCTTCATTCCTCTCTAGCTTTATCCAGCTGAGCCTGGAAATAAAGCTGATTTGATTTAGATCAGCTCTGGCTTGGGGAGAATTTCCCCACATTCAGCCTGAGCCACTTCAAAAGCCAAGTGGAGCCAGAACAGTGACACATATGTGCCTGTAGTTCCAGCTATTCAAGAGGCTGAGGCAGCAAGATCTCTTGAGCCCAGGAGTTCCATTCCAGTCTGAGCAATATAGAAAGACCCTGTCTCAAAACAGCAAAAACGAAACAAAACAAGCAAACAAAACAGACCTAAGTGGATGCTGAAGTTATCCTAGGGTTTGTGGCCTGGTCTTCAGTGTATGTTGGGATGCAGTTAAATCCAGGACACCCAGGACATAATTGACCAGGCAGTTTTTCATTGTATGTAAGAAGAAAATGAGGCCTAAGCACAATATTCTATGGGTTTTCTTCTGGGAAGAATCCCCAGAGGAGGGGAAAGGTAAGGTTGAGAATATGGCTTTGTTCCATCAAATAACTGATTTCTTAGTTCAGTTTCCTTTCCCTAGTAAGGAAGACTAGGTAAGGTGGTTACTTTATGATGTTTGCAACTCTGATCTTCAATTGTAATTCCTCTTCATTCCCTTCCAGAGAGAAAAAGCATTTGAATTCTTTTCAGTCTAACATTTCTCCCCAAAAGGTTCTACTGATTTCCTTTCTAATGTAAGAGCTGATCCTTGCTGTGTATTCTCCTGGTTGGAGCCTCTCTTCCAGGTTATTTCTGACATCAGCATCAGTAAGGACAGTCTTCTCAGTAATCCTGCCTGCTGAGGCTGTCCTGCTCTCCATTCAGTTTCAGATGAGGAAACTGAAACTAAACAAATTCATACTGTCAATAAGCTTTGGAGACCTTGTGAACCCAAGGAGTCAGCTTGGGACTTGGACCCTTAACCATACCAGTACTCTTTAGTTTCCTCCTCAGATTTATCAGTAGCTTGATAACAGGTGACATCTGTCTTGCTCTTTTAACTCTTCTGTGTCTAACACAGAGTCTTATCAGAACATGTTCACTAAGGGGTTTGCTAAAAGAATGAGTGGGGCTGGAGGTATAGCTCAGTGGTAGAGCTCCGGCCTAGCATGCATGAGGCACTTGGCTCCTGAAGACCTGCTCAAAACCCAACTCTTCCTCAAACTGCTCCACAGTCTACTCTAGCTCCCATGGTGGCTGGTACCTGCATTCCAGTAGTCACTCAATACAGGCTGCCTTTTGAGATCCTTCTTTCTGTGACAGTCTATCCTAAATAAGTATTAGAAGGCTAGGCTGGAGATACAGCTCAGTGGCAAAATGCTTGCCTAGCTGTTTGAGGCTCTGAATTGGATCTCCAGCACCTTAAAAAACTGTATCGAAGGAAAAGTACTCTGCTTATTTTCCATTTTGTCATCCACTGACCCTCAGTAGTGAAAGTCCTCGAGTAGTATTTTGAATCAAAGCATTACTGACATCATTTGACAAAAGTACACATAGAGCATAATCCTCTAATCACTCTTATGTGAGAAAATACACCTAATTTACAGTGTGCAAAGTGCCTTCTTCAGGGCATGTGAGATTATTTGTAAGATATGAAATATGGCAGGTTTTTGTGAAGTATGAGCAAGTTGGGTTTTTTCCCTTTCCTTTTTTTTTCTTTTTGGAGGCAGGTCTTACTCTGTAGCCTAGGCTGGCCTTGAACTCACAATTCTGCTGCCTCAGCCTCCTGAGAGCTGGAATGACAGGTTTGCCACCATTCCTAGCAAGCTGGGTTTTTGAATTGTGTGTGCGTACAGATTACATAGATTCAGAGAAGACTTTCTCTTACTCTCAGAAATGTATCTTACAGAATCAGTGGTTTGTTAGAGCACTGGGTTCTGGTTGTATATCATATTTTTCCTAATCATAAAAAATATGGAAAAGTATAAGTCATCATGATTCTGTTCTCTAGAGGAAACATTTTGGTATTTTCCTTCAGTTTTTTTTTTTCAATGTTTTCCTTACATTGGGATCATATATACATATCCCCAAGAACATTAGGGAATGTTCTTGATATAATAGTGAGCAATATATATAAAAAGATATTATATATATATATATATATATCATTAGTTTTTGGTGATTTGTTTTTTTGTTGTGTTGCTGGGGATTGAACCTGGGTCTTGTGTATGCCAAGCACATACTCTACCAATGAGCTACAACACCAGTCAATAATAAGGTTATAAACATTGAAAAAAATCCATGATGATACCATGATTTGTTTAATTTCATATTGGGGATTAAACAGTTGCTCTTGCATGCCATATGTTTGCATAAATTTCTGATCATTTCCTTATGACATTTTCAAAGCCCTTGATACATACTTCTAAATCCCAGCTCCTACCACTGGGCTCAGTACATGTTAGGTATTCAGTAAATAATTGCTGGATGAATTGATGCCTTCCAGAATGATTAGGCCAATTTAGACTCCCAGCAGCAGTTGTGAGAGAGCCTTGTCTTGGTCAGTCCTTATCACAGGAATAATGATTAAAGCAGGATTTAATTCTGGCAATGAAATAATCCATTTGCCTTAAAGAAGTGAAAATTAAAAGTTGGATCCTCCCTAAATAACATTTTGCTTTAATAGACTGCTGTTTTAAACACATTGGGACAGAAATGGAATGTAGGAAGAGTTCTCATTATCTTGGAACTAAATTATGAAAGTTTGATAATTCCTTCCTCACATTTCCCTCTACTGAAGCCAGTCTGAAACTGTCACTTGGCTACTTAGGGGTACCCAACAATCTTGAGCTCTGGAGAGGGTACCCCTTAGATACAATCTAGGCTTTTGCTATGATGCCAAATTGTGGTGGTGGTGATGGAAGTATTACCAAGAAACTTTGTTCTCTTTAATGAAGTGTTGAAATTTAGTGGGAACAAACTTAGGTTAAGAATCCTCCATTCTGTGAATTGTAAAGAAAGGATCTCGTTTGAGCTTTTATTATGTGCCAAGTCCCTCCTGTCCTGCTGCATCCCTTCCTATCCTGCTTCATTTTGCAGATGGGGGCGGGGAGAAGGCCGTGTCTCAGAGAGATTGGGTAACTTACTTAAAGTCACACAGCTGGTAAATGCCAGAGCCCTGGTGACCCTGGTCATCTGATTCCAAGTTTAACTCCATCATCCTGGAAGACTGTGGTCTTGGGTTCAGGTAAACTGAGGCAGATTTGGGACTGAAAAGTTGATTCCAAGGTTCCCTGGCACTACGTTTGAGGTTCTTGGAGCCCGTAGGCTAGGAACAACGACTTTCAAGCCTGAGGGATTTGGGAGTTCTTGGGGCTTAAAGACCTGTGGGCTAAACTGAGAGTTAGGGCCAAGAATAGAGGCTGGAAGTCTCTGAACCAGTTTCTTTCATTTAAAAAAGTTTTTCGTCTCCAGTTCTTAAAGCTTGGGTCTGAAAAATTCTGGGGTCCAAAGCCTTTAACTGTGGGATCCAATTCTGGAGATGCAGCTCTTGGGTTCTGGCTGAGGATCCAGGTTCAAGGGTGCACGTAAACCTGAATCAGAAGGGCTTGTTTTAGAAAGTCTGGGTCTGTAGAGCTCAGGCTGAGGGTCTACCCTGAAGGTTCTTTTCCCGAGTCTTAGAGTCCTTGGGAGTGGGAGGTGTGAGTGGGAGTGGTCCAGTTCCACGGGCTTCCAGTTTGACAGCTCTGCGCTTGTTAGGGTTTCATCTGAAAAGCCCAATTCTGTGAGGCATTGGCTCTCAAATTTCCTGGATTTCAGGGCTCAGAATGCGGTATCTTCTGTTTTTGGGAATCCCTGGTGGTGATGACTTAAGAGTTTTGTGTTCCCGGGTCTAAGGTCGGGTGTTAAGGGTACCAGCTTTGCCGTGCAGGTGAGAGGAGCTGGGGGGCTTGAGCAGGTGCAGTAACCCTGTCCTGCTAACAACAGCTGTGGGGTGCAGCGAGAACCCGCAGTCCCACACCACGTTGCGCAAAGTCCCCAGCTTGCGACCCCGAAAAGTGAAGAGGTCGGCGCTAGGACCGCGCGGGAGGCGGCGGCGACTGTTGACGCGCACGGCGGCGTGGGCGCGTCGGCGCTAGGACCCCGCGGGCGCGGCAGCGCGTGGGGCGGTGCGTGTTGACAGCAGCGGCGGCGGAGCGCGGCGGGCGGCGGGACTCGGCGCCTCCGGTTCCTGCCCCGCGTCGTGAGGTGGCGGCGGCGGCGGCCCGGCGGCCCGGGATGGCCTTTATGGAGAAGCCACCAGCCGGCAAGGTGCTGCTGGACGACACGGTGCCGCTGACAGCAGCCATCGAGGCGAGCCAGAGCCTGCAGTCCCACACGGTGCGCGGCCCGCCGGGCGCGGGACGGGGTGGCGGGGCCGACGGCGCTGGCCGGGGGACGCCGGCGTGGTGGGCGGGCCGGGCCGCGTGCCCGAGGGCCCAGGCGGACGCCGAGGCCCGAAGGCACCGAGCGCGGAGGCTCAGCGCCCAGGCCCGGGGTGGGAAAAGGAGCTCGGCGGTGGCCGGGAAGGGGACTCGGAGTTGGGGCACCCCGGGGCCCTCCCGGGGCCACGCCCGGGCGGTAGTGAGGCGATGGCCTTCTCTCTGCGGGGCCCCTGGGTTTCCCCTCGCGTGGGGTCTGAGTGCTGGGGGAGGGGGTGACTGTGCGTGGAGCCATAGATGCAGGTGGGACTTCAGCGCGACCCCCAGGTCATCACCTGCGTGGCCGCCTGTGGCTCCGGGAAACCCTGAGAGGCAGGTGTATGACCTGTGTCCTCTCCCCCCTCTAACCGGTGCGGTGGTGGGCAGTAGGGCCCTCGTCTGAATTTAAGGTCTGCTGGAGTCACATAAAGGAGCAGTAAACACTGGCAGTTCATTTCTGTTACATCGGCTGTCTTTTATGGGGCTTTGAAGCCATGGTTGTTTTCATTTGCCTGTACCTTTTTTTTTTTAAGGCATACTGTGCATTATAATTTACAAGCAATAAATTATTGCTTGGAATCAGATTTAAAAAACAAAAAAGTGTGGATCTGCCAGCCAAGTGGGACTTTCTTTGGGAAGTAATGAATGGGGACAGAGAGATTCCTTAAATTGTAATGTTTTGTCAGGCCACCAAATCAGATTCCAGCTCTGAGGCTTGTTTGTTTATCATCCATGGTGTTTAGGGGCTCATCTGGAGGCTGAAGTCCTACAATAGCCCTCTGTCTCTCTTTTTGTTTAGGCTCTTGTGGTGTTCAAAGAGACTTTTCATTCTGTTGTATTAAAGTGGGACTTTTTGAACCTCAGTTTCCTCTTCCAACAGCCTTGCTTTGTAGGCCTTGGGTTGTTCAAAGTGTTCATTGCCAGTTAGGAAAATGATTGTCTTATTTAAGAGGGCATTTTATTTCATTGTGTACATCTTTAATCCTACTCTATAGACATGTGAAAAGTGTCAGAATTGGTTGAACTTCGTTGTAAGGGAATATTAAGGGTTGAAACTTAGAGCAGGGAGTCAACAGTTCTGCTCTTGAGTTAGATTTTTGACTGGACTATTGGCAAACAAATCTTTTTTTAAAAAAATTAGGATATATTCATTGTACATGGGGGGATTCATAATGACAATTCCAAATAAGCTTATAATTGTACGTTGGTTACCTTACTCCCACTGTCTCTGGCAAGTAAATCTTAAGACCTCGCAGAGTTGAGTCTAGGTCTATCTTGTACTGCAAGTAGAGATCATTATAAATGCTCACAGAACCTCGTTTCCAGCAAGCATTCCCTGATGGCCACTGTCCCAGGCCATGTGCTCATTCCTGACCTTAGCACTTGACAGTTTATTCTGTAATTCTTTACTTTTCCTCTCCACCAGGCTGTGAGAGGAGGGACAATTTTTGTTCACGTTTGGGGCTCAGTCCCTGGTATCTGATAGGATTTCACATGTGTTTATTGGGTGAATAAATAAGTGAATTGCAACTTTCACTAGGAGGGCATTTGGGAAAGGAGTTTTTCCCTAAAAGAGGGGAACTCTCCACTCAGTTTTTCTACTGCCCACCAGACTAAAGAGGAAATGAATTTTGAAATAATCCACGAAAGAGGCACACAAGGTAATAGGCCAAAGGAGATTTATTTATTTATTGTAAGAAGACAAAGCAGGAAGGAAGGAAAAGAGGAGAAAAAGCTAATAAGCTGTTAGAGAGGCAGTCACGAGGTGGGAGGAGCTAAGGCTCAGTGGGCTGTCTTCATCTCTAGGGTGTTTATGCCCCTGACCTGGCTGGGATTTCCACTTCAAAACTTTCCAGTTGTCCTGTTTGATGCCATCACCCAAGCATGAGGTTAATAGGTCTGAGCTGGCCTTACAATCACAGGGTCTTGGGACATGAGTATCTATGGTCTTTAGGTATTCTTGGTCATGGATTTACAAAAAGCAGGTATTTTTTGTTCTCAGACTCATCTACGGGCAGTGTATCTCATTTATCATCTAAAAGAGAAGGGAGGGTGATGGAAGGAATGCAGGTCTGTTCTTTCTTAAACATTTGATTTAATTCCTTGCTGTTCTAGTGATTTTTCAGCCTTAGTTCCTGGTTCTGTCTCAGCTTCTCAGCTTCTGGACCTGGCTTATTATTATTTTGATAGGTTTTCTGATTTCCCTGTCACTATTCTAGCTACCCTGCCTCAAAACCTTACTGTGTCTCTTTACCTGTTTGTGTAAAATGCTAATTGTGAAAATTGGAACAACTTGGCATCTGAGGAACTAACACAGTCAGTGCTTTAGTGAGGTGGTGAAAGATATAATAGGAATTCATTTTTATTATAGAGTTTTTCTTTAAAAAACAAAACAAGGTAATTTTAGGGTAGAAAATGGCAGTTTTTATAATGATGACTGCACATGAAACACAATGACTCACAGGAGACCCAGAGAGGCAGATGTGGTAGAGTGAAAAAAAATGACACATTGTCTTGCATAATTTTTGACTGTTTTGTGTTTGTGTCATTTTTGCTGAAAAGTTTGAGACTGAGAAATGTTGCATCAGCCCTAACTTTATTGAGAAAAACATATGCTGATGCAAACTTTTTGGACTATTAGTGACTTATGAGTAAGTCCCTTTAAAATAAGAATTGTTGGAGATTATTTTGGCAAGAAGTAGTTATTAAAAGTGATGCGTGGATCTTGTTGCCAGTGGCTCACGCCTATAAACCTAACTACTCAGAAGGCAGAGATCAGGAGGATGGCAGTTGAAGCCAGCCTGGGTAAATAGTTTGTGAGACCCTATCTTGAAAAAACCCATTCCAAAAAAGGGCTGGTAGAGTGGCTCAAGGTGTAGGCCTTGAGTTCAAGCCCCAGTACCGTAAAACAAACAAACAAAAAATGGTGCATAGAAGAGAAAGGCATTGCTTTCTGTTGGGAAGATTGAGGTTGACTGTCCAGCTTGTTAACTGAAGGAAGATGATGCCCCTTGCTGTGAAATACTGAATCTCTAGGAAGTTACTCCTTGACTATATATACAGAAACATATGGAGGGAGTTTATAGTAGTAGACGTCCTCTGTGATGGAAGAGCCAGTATCTTGGTATAGGTCTGGGTTGACACTTGTTAGTCATATGACATTGTTTGGGCAAGTCACTGAAATGTTTTTTGTTTTTTTTTTGGTGGTACTAGAGTTTGATCTTAGGCCCTCACATTTGCTAGGCAGGCCTCTACCACCTGTGCCACTCTGCCAGCCCAATGAAATCTTTTGATGTTTAGTTTTGTCATATGTAAATGGAAGTAATAAATGCCTGCCCTGACTACCTCCTAGGATTGTTATGAAGATCAAATGAAATCATATTTATGAAGAACTTGTAAAGTGCATTCCTTCCTTCCTCCAGGTCTTCATTCCCTGACAACGTAGGTAGAAAGGGTTAAGCATGTTATTGCAAGTAAGCTCATTTCTGTCTGTAGTTCCTTTCATTTACTGAGGTTGCTTTGCCACGGGAAATAGAATTTAGAGCTGAAAATTTTAGGATGCATCTGATTTAGAATTTATGAATGTGGGAGGAAAAAATTCTGTGGGGGAAAGTACAGACCGCAGAAGGATGAAGGAACACAAGGTCAATGCCTGAAAAGGCATATTTGGATAAGCACTTGGCTGGGTGCATGGTGGTAGGTGGTTCAATGACTGGCTGTGGTTTAAGTGATTTTTTTTTAATTTTTTATAAAGCACAGTGAATGTAGCTTCAAGAAACGGATCAGGCTTAAGGAAATGAAGCTTCCATAAAATCAGAAAGGCCATCCTGGAGTCAGAGGAAGGGAAAAGTTTTTCTAAACAAGAAATTCTGGTTAAAAGCCACAAAGGTGAGTTGTGAGCAAGTTTTGGAAAAATAAGAGAAGACAGGCAATATAAGTTCTTGGCTACATGAAAGGGGAGACTTAGTCAATAAACTAAAAAGATGCTAACCTTGCTGAAATATAAACCAGAGGAAACTGATGAGAACCATCAGTTCAGAGGGTTGTTATTAAATGTGCAGATCTGCTTTTTGTTGGTTGATATGTTGTAGCTTTCCATCTCAGTTTTCTCCTGTTTACATGTTCTTCGTGGGGTCCATCTGGATCAGGGCCCATTTACTCTGCATTTGGTGCATTTTGTCCTTAAACAAAATTTTAGTGACATTTGAGGCACAATCAACATCTTTTTTAATCTGTGGAAAAGGTAATATCACATGTTAAAATCTTTGCTGCAAATGAATCTTGTTGAAGTTTTGATTTTTTGGAAACTGCATTTCTTCATGGTTTATTTATTCCACAGTATTCATTCAAAATAAGTAACTAAATAAATAAATAATAGGATGGTGAATTAGACAGCTCCTGCTTTCATGGAGTTTTTGTTCTGTTAGCTTCCAAGGTGTACACAGGTCAGTTAGGATCTTTACCTGTCAGGGGTTTGGAGTTCCTTTTATGGCTTGGTTTATTGAGTTTAACTTCTGAATCAGTGCCCCTTCTTTTAAATAGTTATTTTCTGGGAATATGATCTCTCATCTTCTACTTGGTTATGTATTTTTCTGTAGTTTTCCTAGACACCTTGATGAATGCAGTCAGAAATCCCTGAGCTCTTGGTAATGGTTCATTTAGAGATTGTGAGTAATTTCTTTCATTAAAAGTCAGTTTTTTGCAGCCCAATGATTTAGAGGCGGTGATAATCCTCATATATCACCTCTTTTGAGGATTATCCCATTAGAAAGTTTTCTTGTAGTAGGAATACAAATAACAACCTTGCTCTAGTTACAAGGAAGAAATGTGGGATTCTAAGGCTGGAGTTTATTTTATGTGAAAAGGTAGATGTGCCCTCTCTCCCCCCAACCCACCCCCTCCAATAGCAGAAAAAGCCGC